TCCATAGTACATTCCTCTATTCCCGGGTCTTCTGAAGTTGTCTCATTTAGCGATGTAAAAAACAAGTAAAATACAATGTACTTCTATTTCAGGACTAATATTATCATCCTTTTAATCTCCATTTAACATTTTCGAAAACTCTTTTGGAGAGTGTTTGTGTTTTTCTCTAATTTTTTTACCTAACTTATCTTTATATTGTTTTATATGCTTATCCATACATTTCTTATAAGCCTAAGATTCATATTTTAATGAGCGTTTATCATAAATAAAAATAAATCTTTTCAAGCATGGTTTTGCTTTGTAAAAACATTTTCTAGCAATAATACAGGTCTTTCCAAACCATGGTTTGTTCATCTTATATTTCTACCCAACACCATGCCTCCCGGTCCCAAAGTCAGTGCGTGTAGCGTCTATCAGCACGTGCCCGGCCTCCTTAATAATGTCATTGATCAGATGTGGGTCAGCTTGGCCTTGTCCAGCCACATGAGCTTTCCAAGTGAGATTGTTTAGCTTTTCAGCATTCAAATTTTGTAGAAACCTTTTAGTTCTATCCATATTATAACGTTTTGGTCTAGGATGAGTATTTTACTGTATTTACTTCACCCTGGATACCTACCGTTCGTTCTTGGAGTACAGTAGTGGCTAAAGAAAAAGATGCTGGGCAGTGCACATCTGAATACAGGGGTGAGAAGTCTAAAATGGCAGGAAACAGAGGTAAGCACTTGGGGGAAGCTAAAACATAGTCAACTACACTTACATCATTACATGTTGTTTTACCTACATTTTTATCCTGTCCCAGTCAACCATTACAGATAAATAATTAAGATTTTTACATATCTCTTATTATTTAATTACTCAATTATTAACCCTTGCATTATCTTGATAAGCCCTGACCTGTGGTATATTAAGTTTATCTAATAATTTATCAGGCGCAAGTTCTTTACCCATATCATTTATATCAATATCAAATTCTTTGTGTGCTTATTGAATATGGTTTAATCACAAAGCTGTTTAGTTCAAGTCACCAATCAAGATAACATACTCACTCAAAGAGAGAAAATAAAGTAAATTATTTTCAGTTTCATTAAATGTCTCACCTGTAAAGTAATTTGAATTTTCTGGAGGTATATATACTGTTCCTAAAATGAAATCTTGTTTGGTGTCTCATAGCGTCTTTGACATTTTTATCCACAGTACATATTCACATTCTTCTTCTATCATAACTGATATGTAACTTTCCAAATCACATCTTATTGCTACAGCCAAGCCACCTGAACGTCTTATTGCCCCATTCCAATGCTGAAAGTACAGTTTATAACCTGGTAATTGATGGCGTTAGGAGTAAGGAGGGAGGAGGAGGTATTCGTACTGCTCTTCCTCTCTGCCATTCTCATGATGCGATGATTTTTCACAAGTGTCTCCACTCGAGTGGCTTCACTCTTTATAGGAGAGGGACCGGATCGAACATGGCTGCATGCTGATTGGACCGACACGCAGTGCGCAGTGCCAATAATTGTCAACACTTGAAGGGATGATGTAGATCCTGCTGGGGTCCATGCAGGTAGCTAAGGTACTGTAAGTCCCCATGGTCCCCAGTATGGTGATCTCCCTTCAGGGGCTGGCGATCTATAGCCCGTTTTTTATCATGTTATTGTTATGTATAAGTTTTATTCTTTTTTATGATCCCATAGTAGTTTTAAAATCTTTTTCTGTGATAAGTCTAGTACTTTTACTGTCCTTCGTTGGCAGGTTTTTATATCAGTTTAATTGTATTTATAACAATTAACCCTTGATAGTCACGATATGGCTGAAATAGTGCCGATGTGACTTTAAATATTAACTCACTCACTCACTCAGTCAAAACCAAGTGATCTCCACTCGCACTTTCTAAACACAAACAACAGATTCGAGCAAACATCGCCTGAACTATCGTTTAAAGGCATTGTGACATATGCCCAACTGCGGGTCGATAACAGATGATGTCTTAACAATCATTCCATAGAAAATGTTATGTGAATAAAACATACATTTTCTTTCATTTCGGTTCATAAACAAGCAGCATGTCTGCATGTTATCGCAAATATAAACCATCTAATAGAATAAGCATCTTGTCAGTTATATATAGCTTGTCTCAACATCATTTAGTTCATTAAAGTATATCCCATTACCAATAATAACAGAAAACAATTCAAATTTACTTTTCAGTTTTGTGTAAAAATACTCAATATATATGATGTCGGTTTGCAATCTAGGTCGGTAGATTTCAACCACATTCCTTCTCAAATTATCGTTACGTCTTGCTGGATAAACAAATGTTCCAAAACGTTTATGAGATTCTTGTTACTTTATTTCTATCATATTTCATTGTAACCTTTGATCTCTATATGTATTTGCACAATTCTCCTGTCATCTTGATACTGATATTTTTATTATATTATTAATGTTTCCCATATACTACTGTTGGTGGTTTCTTTTAGAATAAACTGAACCAAACTGAGCTTTACGTCACAAACACATGCAAAGGCAAGTCAATTGTTCACCTCAAACATTACGGATACAGGTGAATTGCATCAGACATATTTTTTTCTCACGAAGTGATAACCTTTGTTACAACCCTCTCTACAGTGACCACCTGGTTGATGTATTAAAGTTGTATGACACTTGATCCCAGAGCACAAAGGTATCTTAATCATTATCTTTACTGTCTTATTACCATTTGATGAATGGATGAGTCGGATCGGTTGAAATGGAGAAATAATGAAAATGTACAACATCTAACTTCAGATGCCATGGTTAGAAAATATATTCGGTTGAGTCCTGAAAGACATTGTACGAAAATAACAACTCCGAACGAAATCTCTAAATATGGATCAATCAGCTGTACAGAGGCCGCATTTCCGTTGTCAAGAAGCAAGGTGGTAACTTAATCAACGTCAGATTGTGTGAGTTTTCTTTTAGTGAAGTCATGGAGGTCGAACCAGCTCCCTTCCGCATCGCCATCCCTTTCCAAGGAAAAGCCTCACCAACAGCAAGCCAATATTGACACCTCCCTCAATGCTGTAAGATCTTTCCTGTATAAGTTTGTGAATTCATGTCAAGTTTACTCCTATTCATTGTTTTTTGGGGTTTTTTCATTGGCAGTGATGATCTTGGCGAACTAGAAACATTTTCTGGAATATAGATATTGTAACTTCAATCTGGCCACATGCAGTTTTGAAGACATCAAATGTTTAGAAGTTAAGTTATACGAATTACGCTCCCTGCCTGATCTCTGTTCACTTTAATGGGGTCATTTACTTTGACAGGTGTCAAATGGTCAGCCATGTGTGTTTACAAACGACGCAGGCGTTGTTTTCTTTTTTTGTTTATTGTGTTTATTTTCAACTGAAAAGTTTGTGAAATATATGCTTTGTTGATTATAATGTGAAATCATGTCGATATGAAACTATATTTCTTGTCTTAAAAATCTCAAATCAGTAACATCATATTTATTATCATTAACTTCACAAAGGGCGTGCTGTGTTATCCTCATTTCAGGATGTTTAGTGGGTTATTTATGTTATTACCGTGGAGTATAAATGGTGCACATGTACCTCAACTCTCTTCCGTGATCTTCTTCTAAGATGATATGCGGAAGGTATAGTCCTGTGAAATACGACGTTCATATACAATTTGGCTCTCACTCCTTAAAAGTTCATGCTCCAATGAATTCAAACAAAGTGAAAGTAAATTCTTATATTTTTTGATATCTCTATTTTTAACCTTGACACTTCTATTCAGTATGGGTGACTTCTTGTTGAGACTGGCAGCAACACAACCATCATTTAGATATTGTAACTTCAATCTGGCCATATGCAATCTCTTTATCGTTTTTTAATGTATTCTAAAGCGCTGAGTTCAATACTAAAGGGTCGAAATGATCGGAAACAACGCTTGTCTTTTTTGTCGTGTTGGGGAATTCCCAGGGTTTTCCCCAGGAATGTTGAAGTAGTTATCATCATTTCAAGAATATAGTCTCGTGAAAAACATTAAATTGTGTCGTTCATACACTTGTGAACTTCAATTTCACGGTTATGTGACCGACCTCTCGTCCAATGGAAAAGCCTTGTATCGTGTAAACTTCACATTTAAAAAATATAACAACCTGAACCTTAAAGTACATTAGTTGTTGCCATGCATCCATGTGGTGATACTACAAAATGACATTTTCTAACATGGATATTAGCCTTCCATGCGATACCAATATTTATATCATAGGCGACATCTCCTTTATTAAGAAATAAATATTGTTTTGGGGTGTTGTGATGTTTAAAAGCAGTTAGCAATATGCAAGCCTTTTTCATGTCTTTATAATTTGCGTTTTTGTGTTTTACATAAATGGCTAATGGGATGACCAACGAATGCCAATGGTTATATGTTTGTATATACTAAAGAGCAATGAGGGTGTGTGGATATACACCACGTAACAAGGAGAACGCTCAACGTTGATGCTGACGGTTTGTTACATTTGTGTGGGGTAATCTCCCCAAAACATCTAAAAAGACAGAGGTTGAAAGCTTGTCATAATGCATGAAGTCACGTTTTGCTTTTCTTTCCTTCGTGATTGTAGAAGCGATTTTGAATCATTTTACATTAGAATTTAAGAAGTTCCAAATGCATAACCGAAATACGTTGATTCAAGATTATGGTTTTCCAAGTTTCTAAATATCGGTTTGGCACATTTCAAATAAACATCCTAAATTCATTGCTGTTTGACAGATCGATATCATGGATGGAAAGAGGCACTGAAGAGGCTTAATGTGTCTGTAGGATTTCCAGGATAAAGATGAAGGTATCTGAAAATGTTCCCGCGATCATTTAAGAACTTGCCATTGAAATAATAACACAATCAGTTGGACCTTCATGATAATAGCTTTTTAACTTATTGTATAAATGATGTATTCTTTTTTAACCATCTTTAACAAACAACATGAAGTCAGTGTAAGCTGCAGATTATTTATTGAATGCAATTGACATGCTCTTTCCTCAATAAAGTGACTCGCAGTGCATAGCCCTGACTTTTTGCATGAATGCATTGAAAGCATTTGAGTTGTAAACGCTGAAAGCATGACTGTTATCTGGGTCTGATGCAAGTGCACTGATAGTCGCATTTCTATTGGCTGTCTCGCCTGGTCCCTTCGAATGGACGACGAAAACTTCAGATTTTGATTGAAGGTAACCAATGTTGGCAGCCACAACCAATTTGTCATCATCTGTACCATAGGCGTCAGTGAAGAAGATGACCATGTTGTCAGCGTCTGGTCGGTCACCGTTTCTTCCCGTAAAAACGTCGTCGTTAGCCAACTTTATGGCTTCGCCAATATGTGTACTAGCACCACCTTCATGTACTTGTGCGTTCACAGCAGCAAGAACAGCTGATCTGTTGTTAGAGTAGGCATTTAGTTGGAATACCACTCTTGCATTTACGGAAAATACCATAAAAGCAATATTAATGCCCCTAGAGTTTATTTCCAAATCCCCGAGCATTTGTTGTTCAAATCGTTTCACGCTACTGTACTGAAGCTTCCCGATTGAGTTAGATACGTCTTCTACGATCAGGATATCGAATTTCTTCTGGCCGCACACTGGAAAAGAAAACATATTATTGAGTAACTTAGTTTTGAACTGCATCTCAATTATATCCTATTGTGTCAGTTTGATGTAGCTACCATAGGGAGAAAAGCACGAAGTGATGCAGGCCTCAGCGCGAGCATGGAGCTGACAAACCTAGAAATAAAATGTGGGCAAAGTTGCGGCGCCCTTGATCATTGAACATTGGTAGATCTCAATAGCATTGTCATAAGTAGACGTGGTTAATATGTGATGCGACTGGAAATAAAAGAAACGTCTCAACAGTTGTCAATATGACTTTGTTTGATAAAATCAATGATAACTGTAACACCATTAAGATTTTACGTATATATCTCCGTTTGTCCAGTTTTCTTAAAATTCAAACAAATGGATTATTAGTTCATGTCTTAAGGTAGATTATATCAAATTATTATTCCGTTGTTATACAAAATAAACTAACTTCATTTAAGATGTGCCGTATTAGAAGTGGTTCATTCAGAGACCACAAAAGACGACTTGTATTTCCAAATGGTTGATTAGAAACTCGAAAGTACTAATTTCATTCGTGGCAGATATCCCCGATGTGTATCCATCGTTTTGTTATATCTCCCTTCAAGTGTGAGATACATAATGAAATAGATACATTGAACTTGGCAGTCGTCGTGGTCTTCAGCTATGAAGGCCTGTCATCCAGGTGTCATTTGATGGCCTAGAAGTATTAAATATCAATTTTGTTCAATAGTTTCATGCATAATCTCCAACACTGGGATAACTTCTGTGCAAGTGTTATGTAATGTAGACGTGTAGTGTCCGATTTAAACACATAAACATCTGTATTTGGAGCGTCTAATCTGCACGCAAGTGCCTCCAATGCGGCAACGTCTTTTATGACACCGACCTTAGCTAAAACAAGGGCAAAAGGTGCTTACATTACAGATGGTGTTAATTCAACTTACAAGATACTGCAGGTCCATCATAACAATCACAAGCATGTTCATGACTGATAAAGTGTGTTTGATTTTTTGTTTGTTGTTTAACGCCGCACTCAGAAATATTCCAGCTATATGACAGCGACCTGTAAATAACCGAGACCCCATAAATCCAGTGATCGACATCATGAGCATCGATCTACGCAATTGAGATCGATGGCATGCATCAACCAAGTCAGCGAGCCTGAACTTCCGATCCCGTTAGTAACTAATACATTGGCTTTGGCACTGACATATCAGGCACTGGCATATTGTTCATCCATAAATCTTATCCTTACTTATAAATGCCGATCAAAAAAGATAGTGACATATTTGTCTGGTCGTTGAGATGCATATAACGAGCATTATTTAGATTTTCCTTTAATGATCATTTCAACATATTTCACATGTCTGCTTATTACCGTTAGGTCGGCAAAATTAATACCTATATTGACGCGATTTATTTTCTACTTGGATTCCTCCTTTTTTGGTAACATGGAGGACACGCTGAACACATATCAATTCCTGTTCTCTCAATCTGTATACCACAGACCTGTTCATATACTGAACCGCAAACGAAACGTCACCCAAAGTAACATTGCATGAAAAGTTGTCATTTAAATATCTGGGTAATCTGTGTCAAAGTTTCTAAAATTTAACATAACCTAGTCCGGAAAAATGAAATTTGATGATAAAAAAACAAAGCAGATGACAATAAAACCGATCGCCCAAACGCATCACAGCAACGACCATGGTAACCCGATGCAAATTGAAATGCACATGCGTTCCCTCATTTCTTGCCCTATAAAAATCCACCCAGATGGGATAACATTCCACAGTTTTCTAAAACGAGCCAAGGATGTGGGACATTATCTCAATGTCGGTGTTGATTTTGTTGATGGTTCTGCACTGCTGGACGGTACAGAAATGAGTGTCTACCAAGCGAAGTGCCTTATCACTTGTGTGTTGAGAAGGCCTTACTGTCTTCGCCATGCTTGTGGTTTTGAAACAGAGGCCCACCAATGGTACGACCCGGAATATGAAGAGGGCGTCATGGAAAATGATAAATATAAAATTCTTTGGATTATGCCCATTTACAGCTTCAGACGTATCCAGGCCAAAAAACCTGATCTTCTCAATTTTGATGAATCCAATGAAATCATTTACATCATTGAATTTTCTGTCCCCTTTGACAGTAATGTTTTTGACAAGATTGAGGAAAAACATGGCAAATATGCAGACCTTGCTTTCGAAATGTCACGCTTGCATCCCAAGCACCAAGCTGTTGATGAGCCTAACCAGCCTGACTGCAAGGATCACCCAAACCCTCTTTGCTGCTTTTTTTCTTTTAATCTGTAGATTATAATAAATCTATGTCTGGGAATAAATACACTGTAAGTTATACTTGAGTACATGCGGTAAATGCGCATAAAGTTATTATACGAGTGATATGCTTTTACTGGAGTAATCACAACAATAACAAATAACATTAGTTTACAGATATATCGAGTAAGTGTTACATTATATTAGAGCACGTGTGGTACAACCTCCAACACAATTCTATCCTACATGGGTAACAACGATAAGAGTTATCACCATCGTTAATACTTATTTGATATTGTAAAATGATTACGTAGGTCACATACGGTAAATTGCGGAGAGTGTTCAAATAAGGAATATGCCATTTATTTTGGTATAGACCCAGAATATTCATATGTTTAGTTTGAGTAATATTTTTCATGATATGATAATTTTGGCAAATACGATAAGTAAAATATGGTTGGATGATTGTTCAGATACGAAGGTACAATGTAGAAACTATAATTTTAGAGATATTATTAAGTTCGAGTAGTTATCATTTTGGTGACTACGGTAATGGATCACAAAGAATTTCAGCAAAAACGGTAAAAAAAGCATCAGGGTGATTGATACAAATAAAGATACGAAGGTACACTGTTGGAGATACAGCTCAGTATTAGTGTGAAAATAGTAAGTTTCCGTACGGATTATTTTGGTGAATACGGTAATGTATCACGTTGCTGGCGATGTTATATAGAGGACGTGCATTTCCTATAGCAGATAGAGAGATATTACTAACTGTATACTGCAACGATGTGCGTTTCAATGTAGATTGTCGCGAAACTTGAAAGAAGGCTATATATGACTTTAAATTAATTTGGTAATGTATTTGGCGTGTAGGTTGTTTTGTGCCGTATATAAATGTATCCATACTTCAACGATAGGCGTTTGAATGTACATTGTCGCGAAATATAAGAGAAAACTATAGGTGTGTTTAAATGACTACAGTAATGCATTTGTCATATAGGCCATATCGTACAGTATATAACTAAATAACGAACGAAACTTATTACAATATCTAAATGTTTTACATGGTGATAAACATAAAAATACAGAATTGTTATAGCTTATACTGTCAATGAGTACAGGAGGTACATTTCCTAATATAACATCTGATGAGAGAACTGGCATAAACATGAATGAACTGACCTACCTATAAAATTATTATTGGTTGAAGTAGTCATGTTAAACCAGTTTTTAATAATGGCATAGAGGTAGTACAATTTACTCAAAGGGGCTGTAAATATGACGTGAAACTTAAATATTATACAACAGAGGTCCCAGATGTTCGAGTGCATGAGGATCATGTTGTGAACATTTTTCAAGCTGTACACTTTTTAGTAATCAAATGACATCACAGTTGCGTTTAGAACAAATATACATGTTGCCACAAGAGGACACGCTTTGAGATTGTATGAAGTCCATAAGTTAATTAGTATGCAAATCAGTAGATAAAATCATGCAACTGTCTTTACTAGTTAACCTAGAAACTAAACTTAAAAATTTAAGGATCGTATTATAAAGAAAATGTACAGGAATATAGATTGTTGATTAAGTTGATTATGGCACACTGGGGTTTTCTTTATAATATGTTTTCTTTATTATCCATGGGTATGTCGGAGGTTCACTGTCATGTCTTAATGTCTTGCTCAACTCATCATTGAAAACGTTTTTACTATTATCCTCCGTTGCATTCATGAGAAAACAGCGTACATTGAGTCCCTTAGGTAAACTACGACTTGTTTAACGTTCGGAGGGTAAGGCCTATATCTAACAGTAGGACTAACCTCATTCGCCAAAAATGTGTAATGGCATAGCGCAGTCATTAAAGCTAGCCTCCCAGGCAGTCCATCTGTTAGTAATACAAGACAGTGACCCTTATCACTATGTTAGGTAATAATTAGTCATCGAATACGATTTATGTCACTACTGTACATCTGGAAATTAATGCGTCTCCTAACTTATACTGCTGACCTCTAGCCGACTCAATATCAATGCGACTCCCCCCCCCCCCCTCCCCCCCCCCCCCCCCCCCCCCCCCCCAAAAAAAAACAAAACAACAACACACACACAAACCCCACCCACACCCCAGTATATCAGTTGTGGGAACTCTACAGTCCTTTGAAAATGGCTTACAGGCAACTATGATGTTCGAAAATGTTATTCCGGATATTTTAATCATGTTTTGATCCCAAAATATGGTGCATATGTTGTTATGTTTGTAGTATTAACATAAATATAAGAAATAGTGTGTGCATCATTTTTGATTGTATGCCTGTGTCTTGCTGGACGCACTCCATACACCTTTTGTCTTATGTGCATCAATTTCACTTGACAATTTATATACTTTCTACTTATGTTATGATTATCTCTCCTTGGAAATTGACTTAATATATATATAGGACAATTGATATTCAAAAAAAAAATCGATTTTTTTTTTTTACATTTCTTGCCTTTAGGAAATATGATGGAAAGTGTCACTCCTTTGTCGAAGGTGTAAATTAAATTTATTCCTCAACAAGAAGCAGAAACGTGGCAGGATATACGGATTTAGGACGTTTGTCCGTCGTTATCATTTTATCTGCTACGTAAATATCATGTCATGTAATTTGATTGCAAAGTTTAACATGAATAAAATAAGAAACAACTATTTGTGAAGCAAACGCTACCTTTTCGTCATTTGTCAGAATCACGTCCTTGAGATATACACTAATTAAGTGATATCATGGCATGTCAGCTTAAGGTACAAGAAAGGGCTAAAATGAGGTAGGTACAATGTAGGAGACATTCACCACTTTGGCGAAATCTTGGAACAGAGAGTATGATGTTGACAGACCAACGATCATAATCTTAGCAATATGGGAATAGAACCAACCATCAAGGATGGCTACAGGGCAAACTTGCACAGCGTGTTGTTGCGCCTGAGACCACTCCACGACCTTTGCGCTTTCAAAACAAGGATTAAACTGAAGTAGTGAGTGAATTGAAGCAGTGAGAAGTGTCTACTTACCCCGCTTGGCGGAAGCCTTTCTGATGTGGAAAAGCCCCAAGACCATAAGCAGCTGCCAAATTCTAAAAAAAAAAATATGAGTTGTAATTCTGATTCTTTGTATTTCTTTGCACGGTAAGTCTGTAGGCTAGAATACGCAAACGGGACATCTACAGCGTTGTCTTATGAAAAACGTCGTCCCCGAAGGGTTTCAATCAAGACTTTGAGGTCATATCTCTAACTAAACAACAAATCATTGATGCTGTATTGCAACTTTTTAACTGTATGAGACAAACGTCAAATGAAACCGTACTGCCAGTATTTACTTGATCGTATATAAGATTAGCATGCACACACACAGAAAGGCTACAGCAGGCCATACGTTGTCTCCCTCTTTATGGAATCTAACGCCAAATAGGTCCAAATAATTACCACGAACAGCCGACGAAAATATGCACACTAAAGATAGCCACCACAACGTCATGATGGTATGACGTTGATTGTTCACAAGCTATTGTTGCAATGCAAACACTTATCTTTGACCAGGCAAAATTAATTTCCGAAAAAAGACCTTTTTGCGTTTTTGAATAATTAGACAACTTCCGATAGCCTTGACTTAACAACGAAACGATGGGGAGAGCACATAAAGATTCAAGGCCATCACACTGTAGCGAGATCGAGATCGCGAGAACGCGAGTATTTGGTCAAATATCGGGAGAACGATCCTGCCTTGCGATCCAGCCTTCTCGGACTTTCGAAATTTCTTCTCGGAATTTCAAGTTTGTGTCAAAAGCTCGAGATCGCGAGAATGTCTCATACAGTATTCCATAGAACACACACCTTGTTACACACACCATGCCACAATAACGTAATCAACGTAAAGTACATCACAAGAAACAGCCAGCAAACTCCGGATATATTGAAATCAGATGTAACGAATAACCTCAAAACCGAATAACCCTAAATTTAATGCTGCTATGGTAGTTATGACAACTGTAAATGTGATTGACAAATTTCCAAAGTAACAAACGTAAGTGAAATGGAAAGATTCTTGGCGAAGACGTACAAGGGTATTCGATAGCAACTTACCTCATGATTAACAGGCGACCCGACGATGCCGGCTACTATATGTTGCCCAGTTTATTTATGCATTTCAGTTAATCGTTACAGTTCAAAACTTCACAGCGTCATCGATCGGATTGTAATAGGGCATTTGAAAAATTCAAAAGTTTAAATGAAAATTATCAGCAGCTTCAAATTTGAACACAATGACAACTTAATGTAGTCGTTCTGTTACCTATCAATGAGTAAAATTGACGCATTGTATAATATCCTTCTATATCGACATTTTAATAACCGTAACTACATGTTAATCAACACCAAGGTTCATTGATATTACTATTAGTTATGCACAACTAACTTCACACAACAAATAACTTCAATATTGAATCTTTTCAGTGGTTTAGTGGCTGGCCATTCAGATAATACATTGCATTACTGATTTTAACTAACGCAAAGAAAAATATATGCTGATATCTACATACACGTTTGAATTATATTCAAGATAACTGTCATATGTTGCAAAATGCGTAGGTTCATGCGCACAAAACTTCCTTTTAAGAATATATTTTTTAGAAAATTACAAAAGTACTTAAAAATTTGAAATAATTAATGTTCACAACAGGTGTCATCAGGAAATGTGAACTGAGAAATAATTGGCAAAATGACGCAATACAATATCCAGACTTCAATCTCGTAACACACCCAAGTCCACGTGTCAGTCTTGGAACGCGAGAAAACATTGTTTTTGTATAACATAGCTCACGTTTTCGCGAACACATGGTATCTTCACTAATTGATAGTGATTCATAAACACATGTTCATGATATAGTTGGAATCGTCTCTGCTTTTAGAATCGATTTAAAAAAATATCTGACTTGTTTAACAAAAGATTAGCCTCTAGCTAATCGACAGTATTAGCATGTATGTATGTCAATGAAACCATTAAAATGCGACTTAACATTTCACTTTATGATCAGTTTACAAGAACAAACAATTAAAAACATATTTTATTAGATTAATATCTGCATAATAATTTCTAACATTTCCTTAATTAACTTCAAAACCTTTTCCTTTTCGAGTTTACAATCAATGACGGAGTGCCATGCAGTATACGGGTTCCAATACAAGAGTCGAGAAAAGTCAATCCATGGTTTGCAAAAAGAAGAAAACTGTTACTATATTTCGCGGAGGAATAAACCCGTGAAAGCCAACGGGCATAGTGGAACCAACAACACATCAGTATGCGAATAAACCACTCCCAACAACAATAGATGACGTCATGAGGGATATAAACCTTCACTGAAAACGCCTTGCTGGTGCGTTGTTGTCCGTCGGCTTATCTGTAAATACTCGTGGAACATACAGATGTTACACATGTAAGTTATATATAATATATGTTTTGTGTGAGTATGCAGTAATTAAATATTATCGATTTTCCTATTGCTATGAAACTTCCTGAAAATTCAAAATATAATCTGCAAAAAAGAGAAACGCAAAAGTAGTAAAATAGTAGTAAAAGTAGTAAATATCTGTTATCTATAAAACTTTGCCATCACAATCTTACAGCAAGTGAACAGCGTAAAAATGCCTAGACAGATCACGGACGCCCTAGGCTACACCCGACTGAATACAGGACAATCAGGGTTTTCCACGTAGCACCGAGCACCATTACAAAACTGTAACTGTTATCAAACATACGGGACAACGCTTGACCTTCACAGATCCGGGCGAGTCATTCGGCTGCGACGTCAATGGTGTCAAAGTGACAGAGTATGGCCACAACTGCGATCGAGATTTGATTTGGAAGTTTGATTTAGTGATGAGTCACGTTTTACGCTTCGCCATGCGGATGGGAGACGTCCTGTTCCCCCAAACTGCATATAGGAAGTGGACAGATTTGGCGGCGGTAGTGTGATGCATACCTGTACAAACCAAGTTTCACACTGGTCACTGCACAATGAAACGATCAGTCATGTTGCTGCATATGAATGCAATCCGAAACATTCCGCCTGTCCAGTAACAATCACATACTCTTCAACGTTAACATGGAATCAGTTTTTATATAAACTGGGAAATTGATTTTGACAAATAAATTATACATCTAACGTTAATCCAATGTGACAAGCTGTAAACAGTCGCCGAAACACCGCAAACTGAGGTCCAAACACATTAAAATCGAATAATCATTTAGTGTGTGTGTCACCATCAAACATGGCTGTGTACTTTTCCCTGACAGTGTATGTTAGCAGCCCATTCCCTTTACCTCACTTTTCCATGATGCAAAACGTACAGCACGAATGCTTTTTGGACACAAATCTCTCTTGGCCACAGTCACCTTTTAGCATACTCACAGCCATTCGCACCTTTGGAGTATTGCAGTACGGCGAAGTTTCACAGTTTGAGCATAACAGATAAATATCAAGAAAACATTTGACTCGTCAAAGAGTACCAAATGAAACATGGTTTACATTTCCTCACACTGTATACTGTCTCCGAACCTACCAGTCCTTGTTTTATCAAATCTATGCGGAGCGCCAGGGTTAATACAAATGCCATCTTTAAAAGTCTTTTGGTGTGACGCGGTCGGGGATCTAACCACCTACACTTCTTCCAGACCACGGATGCGATCCTCAAGGATATATCAACTTTCTTAATTTGCTTCACTATTTCCACGCGTTTGACAGTCGCATGCTGGACCACTTGGCTTATTTCGTACCTAACTAACATACCTTGAGGCTCTCTGAAATCATAATACCACTGTCTTCAGTAATATTCGTGCTAAGTGACGGCCAATTTTGAGAAGATATGTTTGTGGTAAATGGAAATTTGTTATGTGATCCGGAATCGAGTAACATTTGTGTGAGGGTAATGACTGCCGTAGGATTATTGTGTATTTAAGAAATAAATGACGAGTGGGAGTTGTTTATCGTACAATTAAACACTACAAGGAATATAAACCATGAGGAGCGCAGCCCCGAAGTGTTTATTCTCTCTGCAGTGTTTTATTGTACGTACGATAAACATCGACCACGAGTCGGTTTTTTTATTTGAGATATCATCATTTTGCACAGCTTTTTGAGAATGTCAGTCAAATGAACACGCCTTGGACGATTTATTGTTTGATTGTTTGTTGCATAACGCCGCACTCAGCAATATTCCAGCTATATCACGGCGACCTATACTTCATAGAGTCTGGACCAGAAAATCCAGTGACTGACATCATTAGCATCGATTGGGAAACTATGACTACATCAACCAAGTCAGCGAGCCTGACCACCCGATACCGTTAGTCGCCTTTTACGACAAGCATAATCACCTCTTATGGGTTGCTGAAGTATGGGTTGCTGAAGACCTATTCTACCCTGGATCTAAACATAGTTAACCGTATTTAAATAATGATGACTCCCTGAACACAATCCGACTTCGGCAATGTCGGGCAAGTCCATTTTATGAACAGGGTGTTATGTTTGGTATTTCCCGGATGTCCAGGGGAACAACTCACTGGACACCTCCATCACCAAACCTGACGTCGTCCAAAATACGAAGTCATCAATTTGCGAGCGCATGTTTTCGAATCACCAGAAATGACGTCGTGACAGAACAATGTTTTGTCTTGAAAATAGACTACGCTTCGGTCTTCATTGTTCTTTGTGTTTTATCGCGAAGCTATCTTATACAATGTGATAGTAACGTGATTAGAGAATCAGATTCCAGTATGGATTCCTCCAAAAGCTGGTCGAGGTGGGGTTAAGGTGAACCGTGTGGGCACAGTAGAATAAGTCCTGCATTCAAAAGTATTTGACCTGCACGCGCGACACATGCTATCAGGCGGAGAGGACCTGCCCACCACTATCAATGTTAGTTTACTATTTGGAAAATCCATATAGGTGTTGGTTTCTGGATAAAAGTCCGATGTGATTTAACGTTTTTATTATCAATTGTTGGCGTTGATATTTACTTTTGTTTCCTGTGTTACAAACGGGTCGTAAGTTTCACTGTAGAGTTCCTTATATGGGTTAGGATACGTTAAGCTTTGGTTTGATTCACAGATTTGCAACCAATGGGACCATTAAACCTCACTATATCGGAACACATCTATGACCTTTTGACAGTGGTTTTCCGCAGCCTGATATACCGAATTTTTAGCTATTCCAAGATGCCTTAATTCCAAGTCCTTGTGAAACGAAAGGGAGTGTTTGATGCAGACTGCTTTGCTCAAACAACGTTGTTATATGAGGAGCCTGGATATTTGTCGGACAGTATGAATAATTTTCAATAATGACTGATAAGGATTATTTTTCAGAATGTCGATAAACATTATGTGTTTTCAGATTTCTTTTATTGAGTATTCGATGCCCGGGTATTATATTTGGAGAGTTTGAGAGTTCCGTTAATAAAGGTAAGCATACTTAGCTTACAATGCAAGCATACAATGTCGCTCCTCCACGGGTTAGTTTCCTGTTATGGGATCAGGAATGTGACATACATTTACATTTTTGAGTGATTACTTAGAATTCATCCAGTATTGACGTTAATGCTTTCAGGTGGGACCCTACTACAGTTACTAAAAGTATTGTCGTTCCTTGTCATCATTGTCTGTTAAGCCATGACTTTGCAACTCCCCTTGTCAGCATCGGCTCAGCTCAGCCAAGGAGTGATTGGTCTAACGACGCTTACTCCGAATTGTCTCCTTTAGCATTTATACTTGCATAATAAAGAAACGCAACACCAGTTTTATACTTACATTAGTTTTACTTACTCTCTGTCCATCTATCAATACACGACAGGATCAGACCGGCCAATCTCGTCACTAAATGGGGAGAACCTAGAACGATCGGGATTCGACTCGATCGACTGCAAACCGCGCTCTCCTCTCCTAATATAATGTGGACATTTTTCATATTATAGTGTTCGGGCCTGGCCTGTCTTTGTCACATGTCACAATATCTCGATTTGATTCGTTAAAAGTTAGATCTGACCTTGAACTCATGTGTGTCGTAATCGGAAAAATACCGAAGCCAACATGCCAGATTGATCATCTCTCTACTGATTTTGTGACTCCGGATTCTACAAATGAAAAGTATCTTACCTCTCTGCTTGATTCATTAACCAATCGACGATAACATGGAACCAATCCAATGATAAATGTGCAATGTCCAGAATACTCTTGTGATAAATGTGAAATGTCTTTTCTCTATTTATTCCTTTCGAACTAAAAGTTCTCTGTCACGAACTTTGTAAATCTAATGCATCTCATCATTGCAGCTATAAACGGTTTAATTTGTTACAATTTTGTTACCATTTTCTAATGTTTTTGACACTCATCTTAACCTTATTACAATATTATATTTGGGAATTGAAGTTACTAACAATGTAAACCATTACGCTTAAACCATGGCCTTTTGCGAGTTTAAAAAACCCCAAACACTTTCAGATGGATCACTAAACACATAGCCTGCGGATTACCTGTGTCCGAGCACATGCCTTATTCATTAAGCTGGTTCGTAGTCCCGAGTACAACACACAGGTCCACCATCAGGCGAAGTTAAGTAGCGTGAGTCGGAGACAGAAGGGGGATGGATTCCCGTGTTCAGCAAGCTTGGCTCCTGAGAGTGTCTAGGGGTTCGGTCCTGCGCATCATCTAATCACCTGTTAAGTGTGACCAGCCAAACCAGTAAGGTTTTACCTGAAAAAAATAACAGTTTGCTTTCATGTTACTAGGACAGCGTTAATTATTAAACGAATGCTATGCTCCAATTAATATTATATTGATATATATATTGAATGATGTAGATACATTGCTGCAAAAAGGCGTATATCTTGGAATATGTATGGGATATGTATATTAAATATTCATTCTGAAATGTAGTACATCTACTACACACTCTGTCCATTTTAGGAACGGACTACAGTTTATTTAAACATTTATAAATACGAAGACAATTTATGTATGTCTTTGTTTCTCCACGTAAAGTCTGTCATGTTGTTGCCAGTAACGGAAACATATACAAAGAAGATTGATATGAGATGGCAAGGTACTTTTTTCATTCTATTTTTCATTCCACATTATTTTGCAGGATCACAAACGAACTGTTATTGTAGACGTGTACAATTCTAAACAATTAGCAGCTTTTAGCAATATTCCAGCAATATCACGACACCCGAAATGGGCTTCACACACTGTACCCATGGTTCGTGTATTTCTAGGTTATGATCTTTGTGTAATTTGGCGTGGTATTTTAATGTGTTATTGTTTTTGGAACCCTTAGAGAGATTACTTTTGCTTCTAATGGCTGCGAACTGGTTTGCTAGGTTCTTTGCTTTTTGTTTAGGGTTTGTTGAGTTATTTATGATTGGTGTATTTTTGTTCGTTTAATGCCTCGGATTGCGAGCATTTTGCACCTTACTGTTCTTGCGTCTGTGTGATGGTTTACTGTTTAGAAGAATATTTTCCAGTTTTTGTTTTTTGCTGTTTTGACGAGGTTTTGTACTTGGGGATTTAGTTGATATGCTATCTTTAGATGTGTGTAGCATTGTTAAGCTTTGTTAAATGCGCTTTTGTATTTTTGTTTAATCTTTTTAATTTTCTCAGTCCACAAATGTACTTTTTCGCTACGTAAATTATGCGTTCTGTTCAGAGGTCAGCTGTTTTAACCTGTTTACATATTGTTTTGAATTTGTCCCTGTAGGCCCTATTGTACTAGAATATGGTTTCTTTGGGATCATTTGAGGTTTGGATGCTTATGTATCCTATATTGATCGGAAAGTGGTCGCTGTCGAATGACTCCTCATGCACTTCTCATGGTCAATAGCTGACATGCTTTCATTTATTTATCATATCTAGCTGGTTGGCTGTTAGTTAGTAGTATTAGTTTTGTTTTGTTCGATCGAGTCGGCGATGATTTTGCGGTGTTAGTCTGTGTTATCCTTTACACCCAAGGAGGGATGGTGGGCGTTGAAGTACCCCAAGAAGATCGTGGATTTGTGGCCTCAAGGTGTGATTCAAGGTGTCTATGTCTTCAGGTTTAATTTGTTTCAATGCCCAGTGGTATATGTTAACAAGGTTGTTTTGTTTTTTTATTTTAATGAGTGAGTTATTATTATACCATTAGCTTCTAGATTTGAGGTTTTTTAAAAGGTGTTTCCTTATGGTATATGTCCTCTCTGACATACATGAGTCTAACCATTTGAATCTTACCAAGTTATAATTAGGAAGGCTGAATTTGGGAAGAAGTGGGTCTCCAGAACGCATATGACATAGTCTACCGTCAACTCGGTGCATGTGGGTATTCTCTGTTGGCTACCCCGCTGTCATCAAGTACATGTAACTCCAGCTGAAAGTGTTAACTCCAACAGCAATACACGAGAACATGGTGTCTATGGAATAATGATACTTCCAATATTAACATATGGACGCGAAGAGAGATCCTCATTATCAGAACACACCAGTTTCATTATTTGTCATAAGAATTAACGTCGTTTTGAAGGATCTCAGCTGATTTTCTTAGCCATGGATGGGTCTTTGATTCACCCCCCTCAACAACAGTCAACGCAGTGGAAACATTGTCTCCTCCAAAGTATGTTCCATAGCTACCGTTTTATCGTCGAACCATCATTTATCAATATTATGCTAATCTTCTTAGGCAACTTCGATGGAGTATCCAGTCTGTCGCCATAACTGTAATTCATGTCTTTGAACTCTTTGAACATCCCCCTCAGCAACGATACTTAGCACTGTCCGATTCTACCTCTTACTGCATTTGAAGAAAAAATTGTCTGACAAGCATTATGCAGATATTGATGACGTTATACCTGGCACTCTTTGTATTACATTAGGTAAGATAGCTGCATTCAACGTTATTGAACTTATATAGCGACGTGCATGCACGTGTGTGTGTGTGTGTGCGTGTGCGTGTGTGTGTGTGTGTGTGTGTGTGTGTGTGTGTGTGTGTGCAGGGACTAGCTCGGCCGTTTAGAATGATAGCCCAGAGATACCATGCAGCAATGTAACTTGGATACCTTAAACAAACACAGTATTCAACAAGTATAATCTTTTTATATTTACTTTGCTATGGTGCGTCCAGAACATGAAACCGCAGAACTTCTGCTCACCAGCCAGAAACTATATCCACCAGGCCATTGGCGCGATCTGCATCAGGAGTTGTCCAAGAAATAAATTAACACAGATGTGACAGAAAATTTTATTTTGATCAGTGCAAGAGTAGAAAAAAAAACACGGTGATTGCAACAACTTGTTAACTGACTGCTGATACAGCTTATAGACGACATTACATACATGCTGTGTGCTGCATGTGTTTGGTTGATGTGGGAATCAGTACTAGCATTGCTTTTAAATGAATATTCAAAATTAAATAAAAGTAATATTGATAAAAGTAAGCAAAAAATAGTAAAATGATCATAATTATTTACCACCGAATTTCTAATCACCAGCCAGAAACTTTATCCACAAGGCCACGGAGGCAGTCGTACATTAGGAATTGTACAAGAAAGATATTGACACTGACTCATAACTTTCAACCTTGATACTATTCAGAGGTCCACACATACCACATAGTACCATCCTTCCTTGAGGGACGGTCGGGTAGCCTTGTGGTTAAAGCGTTCGCTCGTCACGCCAAAGACCCGGGTTCGATTCCCGACATGGGTACAATGTGTGAAGCCCATTTCTGGTGTCCCCCGCCGTGATATTGCTGGCATATTGCTTAAAGCACTGTAAAACCATACTCACTCACTCACTCACTCACTCACTCCTTCCTTGACATCAACTCAAATATACACACACATGTGCTGGGCTACCTACGTTTCAATCCCAAGGCGTAATTTAGAAAACAAGTCATATTAATTATCATGTTGAATATCTGCCACATGCACAACAGCATTTCCCCGCAGAAGTTAAGAGTTATAGGTGGTTTATTTGATTCATTGTCATTAATGTGGTCACTTGTTCAGTGGGAACTCATGGAGTGTCAGAGAAAACAAGTGAGTTCATACGGTTGATGTCTTATTGACAGAAGTACACAAAACAGGGAACACAGATGATTGGCCTATTGTATATGTATAATGTTTTATCAGAATTTTGTAAATACATGTAGCAAATGTGGTCATTCAAAGTAACACCTTATTCATTAATCGCATGGATAAAATGAAACAGAATGTGAAAATCCTGTTAAAGTTGATTCCTGGATGTCTAAAAATCTTAAGTGTGTGTAAATTAAAACTGGCAATTTGGTGATAATTTGTGTCATCACAACAAGCTAAACGCCTTGTAGTACAAGTAAAAGGCGATGGCGACAGTAGAGTTAGAGGGTTCTAGACAGTCTAGGTAGTGTGAGGCGACAGTCTCTTCCTTCTACATAGTGATTCCTCCAGGCCAATCCTCACAGTCTAGGGAGGCTGCCGCCACATCAAAACACAGGCAGACGTCCGCCTGGAAATCGAAAGTAAAGATGAACGGTATTTTGTTGTTTGACGTAATAATTACAAAGTGATACATAAGCTCCGTGTTAAAGAACGGCAGATGGTAAACACTGTACCTGTGTGATACTGTAGTGGAGGAGATTAGCCATGACTTTCATGTTGTTGAAGATCTCCACTTCCCCGTCCTGCTTCACACGCTGCAGGATGTTGCTGATGATGCAAAACAACGCTGCTTGCCTTGTTGTTGTCTCACTGAAAGAACGGTACCAGGCAGTGGAACATCGTGCTAAACAGACGGGTTTTGTTATACATGCTGTGAACGACTTCACCTGCCTGCACATGTGCATACATGTATGTTTGTGACGGGTGCCACCGGTGGAGCAGGACACTCAACTCAACACCTGGTTTCATCAAACTTTGATAGTGATTCGTAATCACATGCTGAACATTGTCGGAAACGCACAATGCGCTCTTGTTTGGGCAGATATTATTATTTGGATTATGGGAGGTGTTGTGTTGGTTTTAGTTATTGATATGAGCGGCTATATCTTTATGTGAGATAACATACTTGAACACCACTGTGACTGGGGTTGCAGTGTCTTCCCTACTGGCAAGCAGGTCCATTTGGAAAGGGTAGGCAGCAACTGTCAGATGGTTCGCCAAGTAGACCTGTATGTTTGTCCACGAGGAGGAACCCTTTGTGGACAGAGGTTAGATGTTATCGGAAACATTATATTTGGTTGGTGGCATGGTGGCAATGCATTTATACGCATTTCGTTTTCTTGTTTAAGACGAGCTCATTAACACCAGACCCGTGAAGATCCGGGCTAGAATAGATCTTCAGCAGTCAATGCCTGTCGTGAAAGGCGACTATGCTTGTCGTAAGAGGCGACCTACGGAATCGAGTGGTCAGGTTCACTGACTGGGTTGATGCATGCCATCGTGTCCCAATTTCGAGGATCGATGCTCATGCTGTCAATCACTGGAATGTCTGGTCCAGACTCGATTATTTACTGACCGCCATCACATAGCTGGAATATTGTTGAGTGCGGCATTTAACCTCAAACAAACAAACATACATTAACTCAAACCTCTTTCTTTTGCTGTATGTTCCTCATGATGATGTCATGATTGATTATGTTTTCTGTGGAACACATCACACTGAACTGACTCAGATCCAGGCTGTTCCCAGGGGATAGTATAATGTCTTGCAGGATCTACCAATGATATATAGTACATGTACATGTGACGATGCTCATGATATTGATCAAATGTCAATAGGTAGCATTACTTAATTGCAATAATTTTTTGTGTCATATGTTTCATACAATGAACTCCATGTGAATAATGGCCTATGAATTGAGGACTGTTCGTGACTACATTGCGTTATTAACGCCTAACTATATATTATTGTACCTTGAAATCCTCTAGTAATACTACAATGGTGAGAGCTTGATTTAGGTCTACCAGTTGCCAGAACTGAGATGCTGCGGTGATGAAGGTAGTATCCACAAGAAGGTACCCATTCATGGACTTGAAAGACTGACACAAAACAGCAATGAAACGAAATATAGCTTTACATTAGTAATCTGAGATGACATGCTAAAATCTTTAAATGATAAGCACAATTGGATCGTTTGCAAATTAATATCACATTTTTAATCGTATTGTTTCATTAGGTGAGGGTGAAAGCATAACTTTAAATTCAAAACGAGTGATCTTGAAATGGGACTTACTGGAGACAGGATAGAAACAACATCGCATTGTCTTGATATTCGTCCCTGTTCGCTCACTAAACACGAAAAGTATAATTGTACAAAACGTTTTCATGGAAATATAGGTAAATGAAACATCAAGTTTGTTGTGGAGCAACAACTACGTTCACATGAAGCAGATTTATATAACTTTTGAGAAGACAAGCAAGCATTGCACAGGGTGTGACTAAACACAATGGCAAACATGTTAGCGTAATTTGCCCCGATTGTGTCATTCCTGTGAATACTGTTAAACATTATAGATAACATTTCTTACATTTAGTTTGAATGTCAGTCTTCTCTGGTATGTTAATCTACATAATGTGAGAGGAATTTGAGAACATTTAGTTCGAAGGAGATGTGCAAACTGTGTTGATAACCTACATTCCTTTGTTGTCTTGCTTCCTGTATTGACAGACTGAAAGTAGATGTGAAATGTATGGATTGAACATTACAAACCTCAAGGTCTCGGGTGTATCATGTGTCAAAAGAAAATGTAGACTAAACAACCTACATTCACTGATAACTGTAACACCAGTTGTCGGTGAAACGGAGAAACCTGTTATCCCATTTGTATACTGTTCAAAGCTCTGTTCACTTTAAGGAAAAATACTTCGTGTACCGCCTAAATGCGTGCGTGCGTGCGTGTTATTGCATTACAGTGTGTGTGTGTGTGTGTGTGTGTGTGTGTGTGTGTGTGTGTGTGTGTGTGTGTGTGTGTGTGTGTGTGTGTGTGTGTGTGTGTGTGTGTGTGTGTGTGTGTGTGTGTGTGTGGCGGCGTGTGTGGGGGTGTTGGCGTACGTGAAGATAACATGTACGAATGCGTGCGTGCGTTAATTCATTCCTTGATATTTCTTTCAATCCGCTTTCTTGGTGAAATTTGATTGTAAAGGGTTCCAAAACTGGCTTGAAATCGCCACGAATAAACACTAGTGCGCTAAATGTCTTTTCGAAATTTCTGGTGAGGTGAGATGAAAGTGGGGTGGGGTGGGGTGGGATAGGGTGTGTGTGTGTGTGGGTGTGTGTGGCGGAGAGTGTGTGGGTATGTGTGTTAGTGAAGATAACATGTACGAATGCATTTATTTTGCATGAGTGTAGAATGTGTGGTACCTTCACGTAGCTGCTGACATCAACTGATCCCATGGTAAACATTCGTTGATTTATCCTATTGTGACGAAACTCTGACACGGTCATCGTTGTGTCGCCGTGAGTCAGAGCTGCTTGGAGTGTTGTGTACACGCGTTCATACTGTTCCTGAAGGGGATATTGGTACTCATTATAACATACTACATGCAAACATAGATCAAAGCAATAGTAACAAGAATCACACAAGGCATGTTACAACTGCTACATTTGTATCTTTAAGTCGCCTGTTTTACTTAGCTGAAGCGGGGCGGTCGGGTAGCCTAGTGGTTAAAGCGTTCGCTCGTCACGCCGAAGACCCGGGTTCAATTCCCGACATGGGTACAATGTGTAAAGCCCATTTCTGGTGATATTGATATTGCTGGAATATTGCTAAAAGCGGCGTTAAACCATACTCACTCACTTAGCTGAAGCCTAAAGTGTTTTCAGTAAGTCGTCAGAGAAGAATTTTGGAATCAGTTCTGATTACACTTTGTTTAACACTGTTAATACTTTTTTTCATGAATGCATCTGGTTTGGTCAATTATTCCCCATAAAATAAAATTATGTTTATTAATTCCAAGGTGTCTATTTATATTAAAATTTATTTGAAAGTGAGGTGAACTTAAAAAATGATAAGGGAGGAAAATTTTTCAATTCCCACTCATTGATCTCAAATCTTAAATGCAAAGTCACTTGTCATGGAGAGCCTGTTTTACTTGATGTGGGAAATCTGAACATATTTACATTGGCAACACACGTTACACGTCGATGCCTGGAAAAATATTTCTTTTCGTAGGTTTATAAATCCAGTATCGTATGTATGATTCCAGATGTTCGCCAAACGTATGATAGGAAACACAAAGAAACATTTTAACAGGCGCATACATTTGTCTCAATCGGGTTTGTGTGGTGGGGTAGCCTGGTTTTCACTCCTCACATTGATACAACGTGTGAAACACATCATGTGCTATCTATCTATCTAGAGTGGCCTACCTTGGTCTGCCTGGTGTGTCATCACGCCTCAGTAAGTACTAAACCTACACTTCAGAGTGCCCTACCTTGATCTGCCTGGTGTGACATCTCGCCTCAACAAGTACAAGACCTACACTTCAGAGCAGCATACCTTGATCTGCCTGGTTTGACATCTCGCCTCAGTAAGTACCGTACCTACACTTCAGAGTAGCCTACCTTGGTCTGCCTGGTGTTGTCATCTCGCCTCAGTAAGTACCAGGCCTACACTTCAGAGTAGCCTAACTTGGTCTGCCTGGCGTGACATCTCGCCTCAGTAAGTACCAGCCCTGTACTTCAGAGTAGCCTACCTCGGTCTCCCTGGTGTGTCATCACGCATCAGTAAGTACTAAACCTACACCTCAGAGTGGCCTACCTTGGTCTGCCTGGTATAACATCTCGCCTCAGTAAGTACAAGACCTACACTTCAGAGTTGCCTACCTTGGTCTGCCTGGTTTGACATCTCGCCTCAGTAAGTACCAGCCCTGTACTCCAGAGTAGCCTACCTTGATCTGCCTGGCGTATCATCTCGCCTCAATATGTACAAGACCTACACTTCAGAGTGGCCTACCTTGGTCTGCCTGGCGTGACATCTCGCCTCAGTAAGTACCAGCCCTGTACTTAAGAGTAGCCTACCTTGGTCTGCCTGGTTTGACATCTCGCCTCAGTAAGTACCAGACCTAAACTTCAGAAGAGCCTACCTTGGTCTGCCTGGCGTGACATCACGCCTCAGTAAGTACTAAACCTACACTTTAGAGTAGCCTACCTTGATCTGCCAGGTGTGACATCTCGCCTCAGTAAGTACTAAACCTACACTTCAGAGTGGCCTACCTTGGTCAGCCTTGCATGACATCTCGCCTCAGTAAGTACCAGACCTACACTTCAGAGTAGCCTACCTTGATCTGCCTGGTTTGACATCTCGCCTCAGTAAGTACCAGACCTACACTTCAGAGTAGCCTACCTTGATCTGCCTGGTTTGACATCTCGCCTCAGTAAGTACCGTACCTACACTTCAGAGTAGCCTACCTTGATCTGCCTGGTTTGACATCTCGCCTCAGTAAGTACTAAACCTACACCTCAGAGTGGCCTACCTTGGTATGCCTGGTGTGTCATCACGCCTCAGTAAGTACTAAACCTACACTTCAGAGTGGCCTACCTTGATCTGCCTGGTTTGACATCTCGCCTCAGTAAGTACCAGCCCTGTACTTCAGAGTGGCCTACCTTGGTCTGCCTGGTGTGACATCTCGCCTCAGTAAGTACCAGACCTACACTTCAGAGTAGCCTACCTTCGTCTGCCTGGTGTTTTCATCTCGCCTCAGTAAGTACCAGACCTACACTTCAGAGTAGCCTACCTTGTTCTGCCTGGTTTGACATATCGCCTCAGTAAGTACCGTACCTACACTTCAAAGTAGCCTACCTTAATCTGCCTGGCGCATCATCTCGCCTCAGTAAGTACAAGACCTACACTTCAGAGTGGCCTACCTTGGTCTGCCTGGCGTGACATCTCGCGTCAGTATGTACAAGCTCTGTACTTCAGAGTAGCCTACCTTGGTCTGCCTGGTTAGACATATCGCCTCAGTAGGTACCGTACCTACACTTCAGAGTAGCCTACCTTGATCTGCCTGGCGTATCATCTCGCCTCAGTAAGTACAAGACCTACACTTCAGAGAGGCCTACCTTGGTCTGCCTGGCGTGACATCTCGCCTCAGTAAGTACCATCACGCCTCAGTAAGTACTAAACCTACACCTCGGAGTGGCCTACCTTGGTCTGCCTGGCGTGACATCTTGCCTCAGTAAGTACCGTACCTACACTTCAGAGTGGCCTACCTTGATCTGCCTTGTGTGACATCTCGCCTCAGCAAGTACAAGACCTACACTTCAGAGTAACCTACCTTGATCTGCCTAGATTGACATCTCGCCTCAGTAAGTACCAGCCCTGTACTTCAGAGTAGCCTACCTTGGTCTGCCTGGTGTGACATCTCGCCTCAGTAAGTACTAAACCTACACTTCAGAGTAGCCTACCTTGGTCTGCCTGGCGTGACATCTCGCCTCAGTAGTTACCGAACCTACACTTCAGAGTAGCCTACCTTGGTCTGCCTGGTTTGACATATCGCCTCAGTAAGTACCAGCCCTGTACTTCAGAGTAGCCTACCTTGATCTGCCTGGCGTATCATCTCGCCTCAGTAAGTACCGTACCTACACTTCAGAGTGGCCTACCTTGATCTGCCTGGCGTGACATCTCGCCTCTGTAAGTACCAGCTCTGTACTTCAGAGTAGCCTACCTTGGTCTGCCTATTTTGACATCTCGCCTCAGTAAGTACCAGACCTACACTTCAGAGTAGCCTACCTTGGTCTGCCTGGCGTGACATCACGCCTCAGTAAGTACTAAAAAACCTACACTTTAGAGTGCCCTACCTTGATCTGCCTGGTGTGACATCTCGCCTCAGTAAGTACTAAACCTACACTTCAGAGTGGCCTACCTTGATCTGCCTGGTGTGACATCTCGCCTCAGTAAGTACCAGACCTACACTTCAGAGTGGCCTACCTTGGTCTGCATTGTGTGTCATCACGCCTCAGTAAGTACTAAACCTACACCTCAGAGTAGCCTACCTTGGTCTGCCTGGTGTTACATCTCGCCTCAGTAAGTACCGTACCTACACTTCAGAGTGGCCTACCTTGGTCTGCCTGGTGTGTCATCACGCCTCAGTAAGTACTAAACCTACACCTCAGAGTGGCCTACCTTGGTCTGCCTGGTGTGACATCTCGCCTCAGCAAGTAAAAGACCTACACTTCAGAGTAGCATACCTTGATCTGCCTGGTTTTACATCTCGCCTCAGTAAGTACCAGCTCTGTACTTCAGAGTAGCCTACCTTTGTCTGCCTGGTGTGTCATCACGCCTCAGTAAGTACTAAACCTACACCTCAGAGTGGCCTACCTTGGTCTGCCTGGTGTGACATCTCGCCTCAGCAAGTAAAAGACCTACACTTCAGAGTAGCATACCTTGATCTGCCTGGTTTTACATCTCGCCTCAGTAAGTACCAGCTCTGTACTTCAGAGTAGCCTACCTTTGTCTGCCTGGTGTGTCATCACGCCTCAGTATGTACTAAACCTACACCTCAGAGTGGCCTACCTTGGTCTGCCTGGTGTGACATCTCGCCTCAGCAAGTAAAAGACCTACACTTCAGGGTGGCATACCTTGATCTGCCTGGTGTGACATCTCGCCTCAGTAAGTACCAGACCTACACTTCAGAGTAGCCTACCTTCGTCTGCCTGGTGTTTTCATCTCGCCTCAGTAAGTACCAGACCTACACTTCAGAGTAGCCTACCTTGTTCTGCCTGGTTTGACATATCGCCTCAGTAAGTACCGTACCTACACTTCAAAGTAGCCTACCTTAATCTGCCTGGCGCATCATCTCGCCTCAGTAAGTACAAGACCTACACTTCAGAGTGGCCTACCTTGGTCTGCCTGGCGTGACATCTCGCGTCAGTATGTACAAGCTCTGTACTTCAGAGTAGCCTACCTTGGTCTGCCTGGTTAGACATATCGCCTCAGTAGGTACCGTACCTACACTTCAGAGTAGCCTACCTTGATCTGCCTGGCGTATCATCTCGCCTCAGTAAGTACAAGACCTACACTTCAGAGAGGCCTACCTTGGTCTGCCTGGCGTGACATCTCGCCTCAGTAAGTACCATCACGCCTCAGTAAGTACTAAACCTACACCTCGGAGTGGCCTACCTTGGTCTGCCTGGCGTGACATCTTGCCTCAGTAAGTACCGTACCTACACTTCAGAGTGGCCTACCTTGATCTGCCTTGTGTGACATCTCGCCTCAGCAAGTACAAGACCTACACTTCAGAGTAACCTACCTTGATCTGCCTAGATTGACATCTCGCCTCAGTAAGTACCAGCCCTGTACTTCAGAGTAGCCTACCTTGGTCTGCCTGGTGTGACATCTCGCCTCAGTAAGTACTAAACCTACACTTCAGAGTAGCCTACCTTGGTCTGCCTGGCGTGACATCTCGCCTCAGTAGTTACCGAACCTACACTTCAGAGTAGCCTACCTTGGTCTGCCTGGTTTGACATATCGCCTCAGTAAGTACCAGCCCTGTACTTCAGAGTAGCCTACCTTGATCTGCCTGGCGTATCATCTCGCCTCAGTAAGTACCGTACCTACACTTCAGAGTGGCCTACCTTGATCTGCCTGGCGTGACATCTCGCCTCTGTAAGTACCAGCTCTGTACTTCAGAGTAGCCTACCTTGGTCTGCCTATTTTGACATCTCGCCTCAGTAAGTACCAGACCTACACTTCAGAGTAGCCTACCTTGGTCTGCCTGGCGTGACATCACGCCTCAGTAAGTACTAAAAAACCTACACTTTAGAGTGCCCTACCTTGATCTGCCTGGTGTGACATCTCGCCTCAGTAAGTACTAAACCTACACTTCAGAGTGGCCTACCTTGATCTGCCTGGTGTGACATCTCGCCTCAGTAAGTACCAGACCTACACTTCAGAGTGGCCTACCTTGGTCTGCATTGTGTGTCATCACGCCTCAGTAAGTACTAAACCTACACCTCAGAGTAGCCTACCTTGGTCTGCCTGGTGTTACATCTCGCCTCAGTAAGTACCGTACCTACACTTCAGAGTGGCCTACCTTGGTCTGCCTGGTGTGTCATCACGCCTCAGTAAGTACTAAACCTACACCTCAGAGTGGCCTACCTTGGTCTGCCTGGTGTGACATCTCGCCTCAGCAAGTAAAAGACCTACACTTCAGAGTAGCATACCTTGATCTGCCTGGTTTTACATCTCGCCTCAGTAAGTACCAGCTCTGTACTTCAGAGTAGCCTACCTTTGTCTGCCTGGTGTGTCATCACGCCTCAGTAAGTACTAAACCTACACCTCAGAGTGGCCTACCTTGGTCTGCCTGGTGTGACATCTCGCCTCAGCAAGTAAAAGACCTACACTTCAGAGTAGCATACCTTGATCTGCCTGGTTTTACATCTCGCCTCAGTAAGTACCAGCTCTGTACTTCAGAGTAGCCTACCTTTGTCTGCCTGGTGTGTCATCACGCCTCAGTATGTACTAAACCTACACCTCAGAGTGGCCTACCTTGGTCTGCCTGGTGTGACATCTCGCCTCAGCAAGTAAAAGACCTACACTTCAGGGTGGCATACCTTGATCTGCCTGGTTTGACATCTCGCCTCAGTAAGTACCAGCCCTGTACTTCAGAGTAGCCTAACTTGGTCTGCCTGGCGTGACATCTCGCCTCAGTAGTTACCGTACCTACACTTCAGAGTAGCCTACCTTGTTCTGCCTGGTTGGACATATCGCCTCAGTAAGTACCGTACCTACACTTCAGAGTAGCCTACCTTGATCTCCCTGGCGTATCATCTCGCCTCAGTAAGTACCAGCTCTGTACCTAAGAGTAGCCTACCTTGATCTGCCTGGTTTGACATCTCGCCTCAGTAAGTACCGTACCTACACTTCAGAGTGGCCTACCTTGGTCTGCTTGGCGTGACATCTCGCCTCAGTAAGTATCAGCCCTGTACTTCAGAGTAGCCTACCTTGGTCTGCCTGCTGTGTCATCTCGCCTCAATAAGTACCAGACCTACACTTCAGAGTAGCCTACCTTAGTCTACCGAGTGTGTCATCTCGCCTCAGTAAGTACCAGACCTACACTTCAGAGAGGCCTACCTTGATCTGCCTGGTGTGTCATCTCGCCTCAGTAAGTACCAGACCTACACTTCATTATGGCCTACCTTGGTCTGCACCATCCCCTTTCGTTGATCCCTCATCCGTGACACAAACCCGAACACATCCACCCTATCTTCAGTGAGAGCCTGATCCAGCAGGTTGTCCACAGCGATGTACGTCCCGGTCCGCCCGACACCAGCGCTGAAATATAATCAGCAGTATTGAACCAAACTTTGAAGTTAAAAAATGGTACTTGTTGTTACCCTGCCATTAAGGGGTTCAAACAAGCACTAGTCAGCTCGGAGTTAGTATGCTGTGTATGAGTGGGGTATCAATGGTAAATTGCGGCATCGTATCTGAGTAGGCTACCATTATAAAATCAACAATAGTATATAAGTGCAATAACCTTGGACGCGACGTTAAATCCCATTTCACCTCATCTCACAAGACTAGCTCTCCTACGTAACATAAAAGATGACCTGGATCTAAGAGTCAGCTACACAAAGGCATGAACAATGTATGAACAGAATATATGGATATGTTGGATGATATCATGATTCAAGGCATTCCACAACCTACCTGCAATGTACAAGTAGAGGACTTTGTTGTGGATTGGGAGCCTTCCTAACCCGCCACATGAACTCTGTTAGAGCTGTGTCACCTGAGACCCCACGGTCGGACCAGGATGTGAAGTGAAACTGTCGGAACTGGCGACTGTTACCTGTCTGCAATGTAATTATGGCAATGTACAGATAGGAGTTGAAGACATAATAATACTTTCTACTATCTTTTTAAAGGCGGCAGGTGAATAATCAAAGCTGAGATTGTTCTTATCAAGATTCCACGCCTTCAGGGTACCTTAAGTTTGATAAGTCGTCTCGTATGAAAATCCTCATGGGTTATATTCAAAATGAAACACGTCCAAAACCACATGAATGTTGAGAAAAAAATGCATGAATGTTTAGAAATAGGTTTACATAAATACACAATGCCATTTAGAAAGGGGTCAAATGTCACAAATTTTATATTTTGGATAACAACTTCTTAGTAAAACACTAGAATGTCTACTGTACAAAGATAACATATAACATATGTTAAGTTTTATAAGCTTGAATGCAAAACCTCTTTCAGTGTAGCTGTGAGTTCTCGCATTGTCCATTGCGCGCTGTGTGCTGTCTTGGTGACTGAGATGGCGAAGAGACCAACGTCAAGATCAGACGAATCAGACCAGTAAGGTTCACACCTCACCTGTGCGGAAGACAAGTCACGATGTCACATCAGTAGGTTTCACATGTCATGTAAGTAAAATCCTGCGATCTTGTTGATTGCGGTATGGGACATAATTTCGGTTATCTCTCAGAACAGCAGATGAACTAGTTGGAGATGCATATGCCCTGCTAACTCACTATTATGTTTATTTAAAGATTAAAGATCTACATGATGGTTGCTTTGTCAGTCATCCACCCTTGCTACAATACCATATACGCCAGTGTACGTAAGGATTTGAGATAACTACACGCATCAATGCACGAAGGTGTGGAGCTGGCATTTTGTACCTGTCAACTTTATAAATATATTTTCATTACCTTCTCATTCTCCAGGATGTTCGTCAACATGATGATTCTCGTACAGTTGTTTTCCCAAATCATCCTCCAGAAATCACACAAAGTCTTCTTATTGGGTGCTGAGAGGGGGATAGAGCAAACTACGTTATTGGGCATGTTCGTGTGGTGCAGTGTGCTCTGTAATAATTGAAGTGACACTTGGTTTTCTTATTAGATATACATAAAAAATGGTTACATGTGATCTTTGGGTGTGACCCGCATCTCTTTGACAATTGGACAGTAGATATTGGATTGGACATTTTCCAAATATGAAAATATGTATGTAGAGTATTGTATGATCAGGCCCTTGGGAATCCCATTTGTACACATTACAGAGATGTATCCAGGCGTATCTACATAAGGTTTATGAAAGAGCAACTGTTTAAAGTGCCGGGATTTTTAAAAGCGAAAGTAATTGAAAAGATTCACCTTGAGCTGCGACATAGGCCTGCGAGCAAGAGTAACCCTGCAGAAGAAGGTGATAGCAAAATATGGTTTGCATGAAGACTGACAAATTGAAGAGATTCTTATGTTGGTTATATTATAGCATGCCACATGTGGTACTTTATATGTTTGTGCAGCTTAAATAATTTTGAGTGTGTCATGCTTGTACCGGATTTGCATTAATATGTATTAACTTACATCAAAATAGCTTGCATTTATATAGTCAGACGATGGATGCCCAGCCAGTTTCGGCAGCAGAACCCGATTGTAATCATCTGAAACAGTAGAGTTAGCCAGTAAATTGTAGTTTAGGTCAACACCATATCAGAGTTGATAGAAATCAACACAACAAATGAGATGCTGGCCTCAGCAACAATGTCATGGAAGTATATACTATTGTATATGTAAAGTAGTCCCTGGTTACAGATACTGTATACCGACACGTATTGTGCCCCTTATGCATATGACGTTGAATATATGAAGACGTCCGTGTCTACAGTTACTTGATACTAACAAGGATAACATCCGAGGAATCTGTTCTTTCCAGTGTTATCTGTCTGCTGCGAGACGTCATACGGTCTTGTAAAGCCAGTGAACAGCATCTGAAACTCGTAACGTGAATATTAACAGTAAAAACATTAAAACACTATACGCCGCTTGTATGAGTAAACCTAAACGAAAAGAATCACATATACATAACACTGAGCCTGCTTAGTGCATGGTTTCGTTGCAACCTACTTCAAAAATGCATATCTACCTTTGTATACTAAAGCCCTGGTTACAACAAACTATGTTAGCCTTTTTGCACTTGATGTAGTATTAGTATATATTATCAATGTCCAAATTGCAACCTGCTTGATTGAGTTAATAGCTTATTCTGTATCTACGCTGCCTAAAGATAAACCAGCAAGTCACTGATTGAAAAAACAAACATATTACACGATTAACATCACATAATAATGATAATGATAACATATACGAGAAACGATACAGACCCGGAATTCCTTCTGGAAGCCATATTTAGTGGCCTGCATCTCCTTGATTCTGTCACCCAGCTTGTCCACCCCCACCTCAGTGATAAGAGGGGGACCCTCCAGGTTGTAGTAGGTGCTGTCCCCATCATGATCCTCCATCTCTTGGTGGTCCACGTCTCCATCGACCTCCTCTACCTCCGCATTAACCTCTTCAACATCAACAATTTTCTCACCATCGTCATTACCAGTAGGTTTACTGCCTGTGTTTCTATTACTGACAGCATAGATATCCCCACCAAACCCTTCACTAACAGCTGTGACCACAACCAAGTTCTCACTAACACCCTCTACTCCCTCGACTTCAGTGCTTCCCCTCCTTCCGCCATCATCACCATCTTCACAACCACTTAAACCCAATCCTCTTCCGATATCCAGCTTCACATCCGCCCCATCTTGTGCTGTGTTGCCTGTTCCACTAAAGCCCACGTAGTGGACGTTGTCGACCATGATGACGGTAGGTGCAAGTGTTTCTGTTAAAAAAAAAACAATTCAAATCTACATCTTGCATCGCTAGTTTATAAAATATGTCTTCCTATGTGGTGATTATTGCCCATACGCATGTACATTGTCAAACAGCCTGAGGAAAATGTGATATGAGTTATGTTTATCTTTTTCTGACCCTACCTCATGTTACAGTTACGTTTTTCGTTCAACGAATCCATCATGAAAGTTGTCATACTAGCATGTGTACCAAGTAGTTCCGACAAACATCCAATATCTCGAAGTTGCCACCAATGCACGATATTGCATTTCTAAAACACCATTTATCGCTCTACGGTCAATGTGAGAAACGCATACCATCAACGCTTGCAGTCATCTGCTTCAGTTTCATCTCAGGGTGGTTGGCAACAGATTCGCGTCCTTTGGAGGTTCTGAAATTTGGCAAAGACTGTATAACTACGAGAATATATCACTTAGGGAACTTGAGTAATATTCTAATAGTATGTACGTACATGACAGGCTTGGTTAATTTGCCAATCTCAATCCTCAACCTATCTGAAACTGTAATCATGTAACGGTATACAAGCTCTAGTGTTCCAAACAGAACACTGTAATCAACAATCGATACGAGTTTATTGATCTTAACTAGAAATTATCTAGTTAAGGATCTTACCTTGTTACGACAATTGCGATGAGAACCAGGAGAGCAATGAGCAGAAGACCGCCACCTGATGCCCCTGCAATCCACAGTACCCTCACAGGTATTTCACCAGTATCTGTTGATGGATGTACAACATATACTCATGTATTCATATGAATAATGTGTTTATACATGTACATGAATGGTATTCCGCTAGGGATCAAGAAAACCTATTATATATAAAGTATATATACACAGTAAAAAAAGTGTTGCACCCCCACATTAATACGTTTGATACATCACAACATTTAAAACGCCCGACTCTGGTTTTAATGGTAGGTATTCCTTGGGGATCTGATGTTAAATGTGTAATGTTTTCGGAGGGAAGATGATCACCAAAACGTAGCAATCAGCACGTGAATTGCATGGTGCATGACATTTGCAGACTGCAGTATCTTCTTAAGCTCAACATCGCCTATAAAAGATGTTCTCTGACAGCCCAGTTTATTGTAACCCACAATGCCGGGTAGACGATTGTCAGAAGCAGTCAAGTGGCAGATTATTGGCCTTCATGGAGCAGGTCTTTCGTTCAAGGAGATTGGCAGAAGAACCGGACATCACTACTCAACAATAAGCCGTTTGGTCAGAAAACACGCACAAACTAATGATGTAAGGAATCGCAGACCCTCTGGCAGACCACGTAAGACCACAGTTAGAGATGACAGAGCGTTGTTGTGGATGGCAGAGTGAGAGTATGGAGGCGTCCTGGAACAGCTTATACTGCAAGAAACATCATGCCAACTGTACCACATGGAGGTGGATCTGTTATGGTCTGGGGATGCTTCTCATTTGATTGTAAGCTTGATTTAGTGACCATACGAGGCAACTTGACAGGGGAGCGCTGCTGAATCCAGTTGTGGTGCCCCATTTTGACAATCATCCACTGGCCACCAGACCGATATTCATGGATGACAATGCCAGACCACATCGTTCACGAGCTGTGACCCAGGTTATCCACAACAATGCTCTGACGCAGATTCCATGGCCAGCAATGAGTCCAGATCTGAATCCTCTGGAACATGTATGGGACATTTTGGGACGCCTGATTTATCGTCGGGACCCTCCTCCACAGAACTTGCGTGAATTGGAAGCAGCATTACACGAGGAGTGGCAGCAGCTGCCCATGGAGCGATTCCAACGTCTGGTGAGGAGTATGAGACGAAGACTTCAAGCTGTGATCCAAGTGTTTGGTGGAAGTTCTCGATATTGACTTACTGTGTTCGTCAAATCTCCATATGACATTCTTACCCTATTGGATGAATTTGGTCACTAAAAATTATTGAGATGTCACCATACTTAATGCGTCTTCGTTGTTCGTTCATTTTTCGTAAAAGTTCAGCATGAGATTATTACATGCCAACAGGTCATGGAATACCCCATTTAAGTTCATTGTATAGACAATACACTGGTTTGTTGGTATACACGAAATCCTGGTTATAATATTAATTCGGTTATCTTTACACCCTTTCAAAACACCCCTCCATGAAAAAGTATAGGGGGTGCAACACTTTTTTTACTGTGTATATATACGGCATGATTAAAAAATATCTATACATCTATATATATACATAAGATGTTCGAAATGCAAGATGCTGTGACCAAATTTAAAATACCCAAGTGCTAATAATAAGTACATGTAATTCTTGTCAATGATCAGCGATGAGTCTCCAAAATGATGGTAAACAAGCATCCATAATATGATATATGTTTTACACTTGCAGTGTATAAATGAACCCATAGGCACCACATGTGCGTTTCATGTTCACACAAACATGTGTTTGTGCCGGGTGCTACCAGTTGGCTTGGATACGCTCGTGTACCTATCTGGGAAAATCTGACATCATTACTGTTTGCCAGTACAATGGACACGCTATCATTTTTTTTTCTTAATGCAGTAAACTTTTTTTACCTTGCTTTGATATGCAGAACTCCCCTGTCCATCCCTCCCTGCAGCCTCTCAGACATCTTCCGTTGACAAGGTCACACGTGTCATTGTCTCGACACGCACCACAGGTTTCTGAACAGTTGGCGCCGTACGTCATCAAGGGACATTCTGATATCAAATACAATATTGTAAAAACCAGATGCCATGTTTCTCTCAATCTGATCTGCCAACTGTATCACGGTAGCTCCATGTCGTAGAAAGGTAGTACAATACACCGATACGCATTGTTAATTTTAGCATATATAATTTTCGCCAATATATAACACAGAAATCATATTCAATCTAGAAACTGATAGCATCAAGCTCACTCTGCTTGCACAGGTGCCCTGACCACCCCTCACTGCAGCCTCTTGGACAAGTTCCGTTGACACGGTGACACAGCTCACTGTCCAGACATGCACCACATGAACCCGAACACTTGTCTCCGAACGTCCCAGAAGAACATTCTGTAGTTGCAATACAAACATTGTTGATTCAGTATGTACATAACATTGAATTAGAATATGATCTAAAACTGTCTCGTTATAATGATAAGTTCGGGCTTCATTAAAACAATGCTGAAGGATATTTTGTATGTGGATAATTAGGATCACAGGCAGTAAGTGTTTTCTGTCAAAAGCATTCAGGTCAGTTTGTATGAGAATGAGTTGAGCGCCGCTTTGAACAGCATTCCAGAAATAAAACAGCTTGTCAACCTAATAAGGGTGGAAAGCCCGCTTGATGCAGGTGGGAAACTTTTAACGCTTCTGAGAAACACACAAACGCGGGTATGATGACAAATCTACAAACATATACGGGACGAACCGGGATTCGAACCCACACTCATAGGTTTATAGCATCCCTAAGGGACGAACTCTGCGGCGAAATTGCGGCGCCTTAGACGAGAGGGCCACTCGTGTTCCTGTGAATACATGAAGTATTATTCATGGGTACTGTAGTCATTCATATATTGTATCAAATATAATCAGCATAAGCACATTGTAACTACCTGCCACACAGTCCAATCCCTGCCAACCTGGTCTACATGTTTGATCTGAAACGACAGTACAACTTCTCAGAATACATTCGCACACACTATATACTTCGTACTCATATATTCTTCGTGTATGTCACTTGTATACAAAGCAGGGTTATGGTAATTTTGCTACATATGCAAGTTAGGTTACAATTCTGTCTCTGAGATTCCATTACTTTGGCTGTTCAATTAGATTTTTTCACTCACTTTTCACACCACCTGTTCCTGGATTGCTGCAGTTGTGAACACATTCACCTGTCACGTGGTTACATGAGGCATCAGGATGTTTGCAGTGTCTGTCGTCACACTTGCGGGAACAGTTAGCACCATAGTGTCCTTCCTCACATGCTACAGTAGATTAATGCAATATAATGGGCTACTTGACTTCAATCTTCAATACGTAGTTGCTTGATACAGACACGTAATGTCTTACGAAGAACTAAGTTATATTATAACGTGTGATTTCGCAACTTTGATCATCACTATTCCACACAATAAAGGTAAGAAAAAAATATATACATCACAATGTTCCTACAACTGGCAGTGGGTATGGAACTAGGATATTGAAATATGAAACAAGTAAGATGATCGACGTTGATGATGTTAACTAATGCAGAAACAAGAAATACATTGACTAATTTATGTGATATTTCACTTAAGCTGCATACGACAAAAGACATTTCGTAACTTGTGACCACATTGGAAATATAGCGGCTTACCCTGTTAACGGAATCTGACATTACAGGTATATGGCTCAGAAAGTGCACATTCATTTCTCGAAATACATTGAGGTTAATATTTGAGATACCTCTTCATACTTGGTCCAAGTTTGGGGATATTAAATATTACGCCTGTCAAACAGTATTCACTTCTTGTTTGTTGAAAGTGTATTCTATTGATGCTACTCTGTCAAACTGTGCACAGATCAGTGCGGTTATGACATATATGGTTATGACATAGTTATGTTAAGGGTACTTTACAGGTAGGGCGATTGCCGTTGGTGATACTTAAAATGCTACTTCATGCACATCAAACAAAACATGAAATTTCACTCACGTCGCATACAGTCGGGTCCTCTGTAACCTCCACGGCAACCCTCAACACACTCACCAGTTACCTGGTCACAACGAGAGCTGTCCCCCCTGCATTCCCTTAAGCGGCAATCGGTGGAGCAAGTGAGGCCGTATCTACCATGTTCGCATTCTGTACATAAATCACGGAAAATGTTTCGGATCAGTTGCAGGTACAAACTCGTTCTTTCCTTATTGGTTGTATGGTGTGTAGAAACCCTGAAGGAGTAATCGACAGAGTTGTTTCCCTGGAGAACTCTCCACTTCCCGGGCGTACAGTTGAAACAAAATATGAAAGATGATGACTACGAGACACTTGTTTATGGATACAAAGCACCTTGTTCTATCCATCTACTTATGGGAGTCCCTTCATTAGTTGACCTATATCGTAAGTTAATATATGTGCATGTCAATATTTTTACAAACATTTGGATTAAATAAGAATATCATGATCACCCTGATTACAATATTTGCTGGCAACAAACCGAACATTTGCCGCACCAACACCCATCACAGGAACCATGGAAACTGGTAGAAACCATGAAAAAGGCCAGCAAGACACAAAGATTAATTCAGAATTACAAAATCTCATGTCTAGGTCATTTGAAATAATATTAAGAAAATCCGTCTGATCATCATGATCATGAAATATGCACATATCATAAACCACTAAAGTTAAGTACAACACTAGGGATTTTAAATTGATCAAATTCATCCAAATCTTAACAATCACCGAATGTGACAATGTAGACAGGATCTCATTTTGACTTTTACAATTGCACAGGTGCTTGTGGAAACCAAAGTTAACAGTTTATTATTCGAGGAAAGGGCATTTAGCATTGGTGAACTTCCACATTAACAGCCCAAGAGAAGAGATAAGAAGAGAAGTGGCAGAAGCTCTTATCACATAACACGTTACATGTACATCAGGCAGGTTTATCACTTTGAAAGGAATTTAGAAATTGGAACAGTAATGAATATATTTCTATTTATTATCTAGTAACAACAAAACATGGTTAAGATAAGAAAACTACATCAATATATTAAATTAAGTAGTAGTGACATGGACCGTTTGGTTGCTGTGAGCTTTAAGTTTCGCAGATATGAACAGGTTAAAATTAATGCAGCCAGAGACAGTTACAGTATAAAACAATACCTTTCTTCACGTGAAAGTTTACAATGTCTTTTCCATATATATGGACTTTCACAATTCACAAAATCTATAAGCCACTAGATATTTCCATCAATAATGCATAAATGTGCGACAGCGAGATAACATATGTTTGAATTAACACCCTTGTCTACGTTTTAACACTGACAATGGGAAACTGTTGCGTGTACGCACCGGAAGTTAATATCGCCTAAAAATCGACCGCTTAGCCAATGCAAATCAAGGGTTAAAAGTATATTTGTAAAAGACCCTATAAGCACATAGTCCGTCAACAGTTTTAAATTTGGTAGATATGTGCCTCAAATATTACCATTGACCTCTACCTCACAGAAGTCCATCATAGGTGTAATGATTTCTGGTTGGTCGTTGTTGATGGTGGTGGTGTACAGAAGGAGATAGCGCCCTCTACTGTAACATGTGATATGCAACACATCCGGTACATCAGTTCCGTCTCCATTCCCAGTGACGTTGTAGCAGTTGTGGCCACTCGGTATGTTGACAGAGTTGGTCACAAACACCTGGATTCCGTTCCTCCGAGCTTTAACTAGAGATAAAGATGCTGAACTTGCAATCAATGGGGATACATTTACAAATAATCTATCATTTCATAAAAGAGGGATCTGAGTGTATATAATTAAACAGTTATAACACTTACAGTCTTTTCTGAAGGAGATAGTGACGTCATTCATCAGTGTTCTGTTTTCCAGATCAGCGCGCCACCAAGTGTAGTTTGCACCCGTGTTATTGGTGAAGAAGCAGCTGTTGATGTGTTCAGGAGTTGCAGCTACCCTCCCGTCCGCAGCTCTGTGTGGTGGTGTGTTGAGGTGGGTAGGACTTGATGTAAACGCACTCTCAGTGAGATTCAGGAGGATGTTGCCTGAAATTAAATTTGTATGTGGCACTGTAACTAAGACGTTTGAGCTACTTATGCATTAACGTCCTACATTGTTTTCTTTGGATTATGAATAATATGTAATCACATATCAGCAAGCAAGAAACAGTGACACCATGAACAGTAGATCAATAGTGGTACTATGAAAACATATGTCTATAATTTATCTGCCAAAATATCACAAATTAATTTCAGTTTTGTTGTGATTGTTTATTTATTGTTTGTCAAAAGCTGCACATCAAAACTCCACACGCAGCATTTACGTTTGAACATTTACTAGATTATGTCAAACATATACAATATAAGGTGCATTTATTTTCTGGACAGGTTATGTTACCACCATACATGCATGTGACATGGGTTAAACAGTGAATGTACAATGAGAAGGCAGACATGTTGTAATGTGTGTAAAATTAAAAGCGGAAATAATTCAGGAACTGACATCTATAGTTGACAGATTAATTTTCTAAGACAAATGCAAGTATGAGGAATGAAGTTTTTAAATGAATTATAATAAGTATCTAAGGCCTAGCTATACCGTTACTTGGAAGAGTCTGTTACTTACAGGTCAAGCGCCAATATTGCCGTAGCTGGTGATGGAATTATAACACATTGGACAATATAATGATAAATGATATTTAATCTGTAATTACACAACACAACCGAGCTTTGCATAAAGGGCTTATTGTAAATATTGACTAGGTGCAACTTAAATAACATGTGTCAAACATTGCTTTGCTGTAAAATAACGTTGTTGGTTTTTTTCTCTAATTACACAACATGCCCAGCATAAACACAGAGCATATTTTAAACTTTAGCAAAATACAGAGTAGAAAGGAAAATGTATCTACCGTGTATGTTATTAAAACTAACGTACGTTTGTGACAGGTCGGCCCCGACCACCCCGGGTAGCAATCCCCACTTGTACAGCCAGAGGAGGAGTTGCACGTGTTTGGAGGACAGTTGCACCGATAGTCACAGTCGACTCCATAAGTACCAACCGGACACGTCCCTGAAATTGAGGTATATGTATACATATCATGCAGATGGAATTTGTATTACACAAATAATAACAATACACATTCATTTCAAGATAAGTGTGCTGCCTGTGACCTGATTGTATCCACTACGTTCATTTGTTTTAACTTACCTTGAACTTCATCAGCACACCAGACTAAAACAATAACACTGGTAAGGACCAAATCGAACATGGCCGTCACCAGATTTAGTCCTTACTTGTTCCTCGTGACATTTATAGTGGCTAACTGTGTCAGTATGAGCAACAGAAATTTAGGCGTTTCCAGTTGGACTTTGTCTATTTATCGTTTTACCTGGTTGATTAGATTTTGTCATGGTTGATCAACTTGTCGTTCAAAAGACCGACCTATTTTCACCAACATAGGGGTGTAGCCGTTTATCTCTAAGGAAGTGATTTTATTATATGTTGACATGGACTACCATATAAGAGAAGCACAATGGTTGAAATGGTTCAGTCGACCATGAAGATTTGAAAATGTGCTTCTTTCTTTTTGACTTCAGCACACTCCTGTAAACATAATACACTTCGTGTTTGTGTTTAAATAAAATGCAAACCTAACGGGCGCTCATTTGTATTTGGGTAACTTAGAAACACACATCTGTGAATGAAACGTGGATCGCGTACCATAAGTGAATTCACACCTTTTGCTGTTCACTTTACAGTGTAAACTCGCAGTGATGGAGGGCATCGTGTTGTTATTCTACCTATCCTCTACGTATACGTTCCTATCTGCATCAGGTGAGGTCTATATTTGGTTTAGGGACGTGATAGGGAATATGTAACGGCAGATTATCATATTAATTTATCATGACTATATCTTGCATATGCGAGGTGTAATACACATTCCATCTGAATGATATGTATACATATACCTCAATTTCAGGGACGTGTCCGGTTGGTACCTATGGAGTCGACTGTGACTATCGGTGCAACTGTCCTCCAAACACGTGCAGCTCCTCCTCTGGCTGTACAAGTGGGGATTGTTACCCGGGATGGTCGGGGCCGACCTGTCACAAACGTACGTTATTTTTAATAACATACACATTAGACACATTTTACTTTCTACTTTGTCTTTTGCTAAAGTTTAAAATATGCCCTGTGTACAAGCTAGGAAATATTGTGTTATTTCAGATAAAAACATAGCAAAACAATATCTGACACATGTTATTTCAGTTGCATTTTGTCAGTATGTACAATACGCCCTTTGTACAAAGCTCGGTTTTGTTGTGTTATTTCAGAATAAATATAATTTACATGTTCAGTGTGTTAAAATTCCATCGCCAGCTACCACAATAGTTCATTTAAAAATGTCATTCCACATATTGTTATTTGTCTATAAAATGTATCAACGATAGATGTCAGTACCTGTATTATTTCCGTTATTAAGTTTACACACATTGCAACATGTCTGCCTTCTCATTGTACATTCACTGTTTAACCCATGTCACATACATGGATGGTGGTAAGATAACCTGCTTACAAGTAGGTCACTTAAATGTGCAGAAAATGCACCTTATATTGTTATGCTCAAATGTAAATGCTGCGTGTGGAGTTTTGACGTGTGGCTTTTGAGAAACAATAAATAAACATTAATAACACTATTGAAATAGCGTTCATTGTTTGGCAGATATATCATAGACATTTGTTTTAATACTACCACGATAGATCTACTGCTCATAGTGTTACTGTTTCTTGCTTCCTAAAATGTGATTACATATTTATCTTAATCCAAAATAAAATTCATCACGTTAATGCATTGGTAGCTCAAACGTCTTAGTTACAATGCCACATATGAATCTAACTTCAGGCAACATCCTCCTGAATCTCACTGACAGTGCGTTTGCATCAAGTCCTACCCACCTCAACACACCACCACACAGAGCTGCGGACGGGAAGGTAGCTGCAACGCCTGAACACATCGCAAACAGCTGCTTCTTCACCAATAACACGGGTGCAAACTACACCTGGTGGCGCGCTGATCTGGAAAACAGAACACTGATGAATGACGTCACTATCTCCTTCAGAAAAGACTGTAAGTGTTATACCTGTTTAAATATACACTCAGACCCCTCTTTTACGAAATGAAATATCATTTGTAAATGTATCGCCATTATCGATTGCAAGTTCAGCATCTTTATCTCTAGTTAAAGCTCGGAGGAACGGAATCCAGGTGTATGTGACCAACTCTGTCAACATACCGAGTGGCCACAACTGCTACAACGTCACTGGGAATGGAAACGGAACTGACGTACCGGATGTGTTGCATGTCACGTGTTACAGTTGAGGGCGCTATCTCCTTCTGTACACCACCACCATCAACAAAGACCAACCAGGAGTCATAACACCTATGATGGACTTCTGTGAGGTAGAGGTCAATGGTAATATTTGAGGCACTTATCTACCAAATTAAAAACTGTTGCCAGACTATATGTGCTTATAGGGTCTTTTACAAATATATTTTTCAACCCTTGACTTGCATGGGCTAAGCGGTAGATTTTTAGGCAATAATAACTTCCGGCGCGTACTCGCAACAATTGCCCATTGTCAGTGTTGAAACATAGACAAGGGTGTTATTTCAAACATATGCTACCTCGCCATCTCACATAAATGCATTATTGATGTAAATATCTAGTGGCTTATAGATTTTGTGAATTGTATAAGTCCATATTTGGAAAAGACATTGTAAACTTTCACGTGAAGAAAGGTACTGTTATATATTGTAGCTGCCTCTGGCTGCATTAATGTTAACATGATTATGTCTGCGAAACTTACAGCAACCAAATGGTCCATGTCACTAGTACTTAATGAATTTAATCTTTTGATGTAGTTTTCTTATCTTAACCATGTTTTGTTGTTACTAGATACCAGATACAAATACAGACATTACTGTTCCAGTTTATAAATTCCTCTCAAAGTGATAAACCTGTTTGATGTACATGCAACGTGTTATGTGTTGTGAGCTTCTGCCACTTCTCTTCTTATCTCTTCTCTTGGGCTGTTCGTGTGGAAGTTCACCAATGCGAAATACCCATTCCTCTATTAATAAACTGTTAACTTTGGTATCCACAAGCACCTGGGCAATTGTAAAAGTCAAAATGAGATCCTGTCTACATGATCACATCCGGTGATTGTTAAAATTTGCAATGAAATTGGTCAATTAAAAACCCTAATGGTGTACTACACTTCAGTGGTTTATGATATGTGCATATTTCATGATCATGACGATCAGAGGGATATTCTTAATATCATTTCAAATAACCTAGAAATGAGATTTTGTAATTTTAAATTGATCTCTGTGTCATGCTTGCTTTTTTCCCTATTAATAAGTTTCTTCCAGATAATGATATTCTTATTTATGTACATTAATCCAAACGTTTGTAAAAATATTGACATGCACAAATATTAACTGAATACAGGTCACCTAATGAAGGGACTCCAATAAGTAGATGGATGGAATATAGTGCTTTGTATCCATAAACAAGTGTCACGTAGTCATCATCTGTCATATTTTGTTTCAACTATACGCGCGGGAAGTGGAGAGTTCTCCGGGGAAACAACTCTGTCGATTATTCCTTAGGGGTTTCTAAATGCACGTGCACGCTATACAACCAATAAGGAAAGAACGTGTTTGTACCTGCAACTAATCTGAAACATTTCCCGTGATTTATGTACAGAATGCGAACATGGGAGATACGGCCACAATTGCCCCACCGATTGCCGCTTAAGGGAATGCAAGGGGGACAGCTCTCGTTGTGACCAGGGAACTGGTGAGTGTATTGAGGGTTGCCGTGGAGGTTACAGAGGACCCGACTGTATGCGACGTGAGTGAAATTTCATGTTTTCTTTGATGTGCATGAAGTAGCGTTTTAAGTATCACCAAAGGCAATAGCCCTACATGTATAGTACCCTGAACATAAATATTTCATAACCATATACATATGTCATAACCGCATTGTGATGTACACAATTTGACAGAGCAGCATCGCTAGCATACACTTTTAACAAACAACAAGTGAATACTGTTTGACAGGCGTAATATTTAATATTCCCAAACTTGAACCCAGTATGAAGAGGTATCACAAATATTAACCTCAATGTATTTCGAGAAATGAATGTGCACTTTCTGAGCCATATATCTGTAATGTCAGATTATGTTAACAGGTTAAGCCGCTATATTTCCAATGTGGTCACAAGTTACAAAATGTCTTTTGTCGTATGCAGCATATTTAAATATCACATAAATTAGTCAATGTATTTCTTGTTTCTGCATTAGTTAACATCATCAACGTCGATCATCTTACTTGTTTCATATTTCAATATCCTAGTTCCATATCCACGGCCAATTGTAGGAACATTGTGATGTATACATTTTTTTCTTACCTTTATTGTGTGGAATAGTTATGATCAAAGTTGCGAAATCAAACGTTTTAATATAACTTAGTTCTTCGTAAGACATTACGTGTCTGTCTCAATCAACTACTTATTTAGCGTATTTACAGAAACAACAAGATTGAAGTCAAGTAGCCCAGTAAAATGCATTTATTCTACTCTAGCATGTGAGGAAGGACACTATGGTGCTAACTGTTCCCGCAAGTGTGACGACAGACACTGCAAACATCCTGATGCCTCATGTAACCACGTGACAGGTGAATGTGTTCACAACTGCCGCAATCCAGGAACAGGTGGTGTGAAAAGTGAGTGAACACTAATTGAACACGCCAAAGTAATGGAATCTCAGAGACAAATTTGTAACCTAAGTTTCATGTGTAGCAAAATTACCATAACCTTGCTGTGTATACAAGTGGAGAAGGTCTCAATGAAACGTGTGGTGAAATACACGAAGAATATATGAGTACGAAGTAAATAGTGTGTGTGAATGTATTTTGAGACTCTGTACTGTCGTTTCAGATCAAGCGTGTAGACCAGGTTGGCAGGGATTGGACTGTGTGGCAGGTAGTAACAATTTGCATATATTAATAACATTTGGTGTAAAATGCTTGCAGAGTTTGCCCCTTGGTCACGCAAGAAACCTATGATTTTGGTTCGAATCCCGGTTCGCCCCGATTGTGTTTCTCGGTTTATCAGCACCATACCTGCGCTCGTGGCTTTCTTCGGAGCGTTAAAAGTTTGACACCTGCATCACTTCGGGCTTTCCACCCTTATCAAGTTGACACGCCGTGATATACCTGGAATACTGTTCACATCGGCGCTCGCTCACTCACTCACTCACTCACTCACTCACTCACTCTCACCCACCCACCCACCCACCCACTCACTCACTCACCCACCGGAACTGACATTTATAACGATACTGTTTCAGAGCATATTCTAATACCATGTTATGTACATGAATCAACAATGTTTGTTCAGATTGTTCTTCTGGGACGTTCGGAGACAAGTGTTCGGGTTCATGTGGTGCATGTCTGGACAGTGAGCTGTGTCACCGTGTCAACGGAACTTGTCCAAGAGGCTGCAGTGACGGATGGTCAGGGCACCTGTGCAAGCAGAGTAAGAATTATGCTATTAGTTTCTAGATTGGATGGCTTTCTGTGTTTTATATATTTACGAAAATTAAATATTTTAAAATTAACAATGTGTATCCGTCACTAGCCTTTTTACGATGTGGAGCTACCAGTATATCGTTGCCAGATGGGATTGAGAGAAACATGACATCAGGTTTTTACAATATGTTGTTTTATATCAGAATGTATCTGGATGACGTACGGCGCCAACTGTTCAGAAACCTGTGATGCGTGTCTAGACAATGACACGTGTCACCATGGCAACGGAAGATGTCTGAGAGGTTGCAAGGAGGGATTGACAGGGGAATTCTGCACACTAAATCAAAGTAAGAGTTTTGAGATATACATATCCACATTGTATAGGACTATTTTTGTTAAAACATGATAACTGTATACTTAGAGTGAGTGAGTGAGTTTGGGTTTAAAGCTGCATTTAACATTATTCCAGTTATATCACGACGTTTATACTAAGAAACAAAGGGAATGCACTACCGACTTTCGGCAACTCACCTAATACTGAAAACAGGACCATATTAGACATATGTCCAATATTGAAAACATTATTAGCCAAATATTAAAGATCAGCGACAAAGACATTAAACATTAATTACATTCAGTCAGTGTTTTTGTTGGTTACATGTGTGGTGCATATGAGTTTATTTCACATATGTTCGTTGTATGTATAGGAGAGAGACCTTGAACAAATACATTACTTGGGTTGTTTTATGTATGCAGAATCAGATGGTGGCGGTTTATCCCCAGTGGTATCTGGCATTCTTGATGCCGTGACGATGCTTGTAGCTGTTGCCGCTATTGGTGGCGTGTGGTGTTTGTGGAGAAGACATATTATAAGGTACAATGGGCACGATGTATATTTGCGTAAGTGTTGCATAACGCCGCAGTCAGCACTATTGCATAACGCCGCAGTCAGCGCTATTGTAGTTCTAACACGGTGGCCTGGGTCAGGTTAACCAGTGGCTGACAGAATGAGCAACTTGCTTTAGAGGCTGACAATCTGATCCCGATTATCACCAACATGAGGTCCTGGGGCCAGCATATACTTCCATCAGCGATAGCTTATAATATGATAGTATGATACGCATATCCAGCAGCTACATATCAGACTCCTACATATCTATTTTCATTTTGTTCTGTTAATACATTCATGATTGTTGACCATAACTTTTAATTTGCAAAAGAGTGAGGAGCGAGGTATAACTGGTAATCTTTTCTCATCATCTTGACAGGGAGCAGTCAATGAATTCTGCAGGACCTATCGTGACCACGTCTGTGACATCGAATGACTCTGAAAACAACTATATATCACTGCATAGAACGCAGACAGAACTGTACGAGATCATCAGACCAACAGTACAATACAACAGCGAAGGCGTGGATATTTAGGCTTAAACTTATCTCACACACGTCAAAGTTGAGAAAAGAAATATGTCAACACAGGTGCAGGGAACTCGGCAAGTGTATTTAATGCGCATCAGTGATTCATACTGCAAAACTGTATCTGTGCCTTTTATCATGGTGATTCAATATATTCGATTCAGAATACATTGATATTTCCACAACAACTATACTGTCAGTCATGCTATGCGCACTTGAGGGCGTATCAGTGTATTGAATTGAATAAGGAACTAAGCCGATTTGCCGCACAAACGTTCTTATCACAGCTAAACTAAGCTTATCTAAAATAGAGATAGAGATTTTAATGATTGGATTACTCTTTCTTTTGATGAACCCTACCTAACAGCAAACAAACAATACAAAGGATTGTACTTTGATACTATAACGCACATATATACAGAGAGCAGAGATCTTATTGTATTTTGCATTTGCCTTTGTTCTCATGTATTCTCAAAGTCGCGGGGGCACGGATGGCCCAGTCGTCTGAGGCACCGCAATTCGCTGTGCAGAGTTGCGTCCCTTTGACACGCCAGAAACCTATGATCCCAGTTCGCCCCGATTATGTTTCTAGGTTTGTCAGCACCATACCCGTGCGCGTGGATTTTACCGAAGTGGTAAACGTCTGAGACCTGCATCACTTCGGGCTTTACTCCCACATTAAGCTGACACGCCGTGATATAACTGGAATAATGTTAAAAGCGGCGTTAAACCCAACTCACTCACACTCTCAAAGTCACAAATAACGAGTTGAACATATAGTTTGTGTTATGATTCGTGCTCGCTGAACCCTGGTTGTGTAAATATTGGCTACGTTCCTTCAATAATCTTTATCATGTATAAAAAAACATACTTACGTGAAAGTCAAAGTGAAAGTCAAAAGTACATTGTTTTATGTATCTATTTTTTATAGTCTGATTGATCTGTGGGAAGCCCATGACTCAAAACTGCTCCTGTCAATTATCGAAAGTGTACTGAGATTTATCAGGGAATTCGTAAAGATGTTGATCATATTGTAAAAAAAGTTTAAAAACAAATTTCGAATTCGGTCTGCTCATCAGTTTTCACAGAGACAGATAATTTGACATGCGACTGTGCGTGTTCAACCTGTAACATTGAAAGGGAACTGAAGTTATCCTGGTCTGGCTAGACAACTGGTTGGCTGTGTACACAGTTAGAGGAATGATTAAAAAGTTATATAGTCACGCACATCATATATCGTATTAGTATCCCTTCACTTTATCACATTTTATTTTCCTCTTCGATTCGGTATGCTTTGAATCATCACCCACAACCAGAGGATTAGATTACAACACTAAATTGATAGCAAGCATTTTCTGCAACTTCTACATGAAATGCGTTGCAACTCTTCTTTTATCGAAACATAAGATATGGTTATAGTCGCACACACAATCTATAATGCTTCTACCAGCGGGCAGGGAAGGAATATCTCTTCTGTTGAAGGTTCTATACTTATGACGTTCTTGACAGTGATTCATAAACGCAAACTAATGATATAGTCGGAATCGTACAGTGGACTGCGTCATCACTGATTTTCAGTTGTCCATTCATTTCATTTCCATAGCTATTTCGGTGGATTATCGAGAACGGCTAGTCTCTTGCAGTGACGTTTTATATTTTGTGAATATATGAAATGTTTTTGGTTTGCCTTTGTGAACATTTCAGTCGTTGTTCATGCCTCCAGTCGACTTATAACAGACTTACATTAACTTAATAGTGACTGGAACACCAGTCACTGGATGTTCACGGGTATGTTGAACACATTCAGTTATATTGCCCAATAGTAGGAGCACACGTGCCCTAAAGCGCCGCATTCGCTGTTCAAACCAGGGATGTATTGATCAGTGTTCAGTCAGATTTTCGTCAAAGGTGAAAATGTATTAACACAAAGGTCATTATTCGGTTTTCCGTATATAAATGCCTAACATGTGATCACGGTGTATACACATTTGTATTCGACCAGGAAGTTGCATATCTCCTATGCGAAGTAGGAGGCGTCAACTGTTTATGCCACACTGCTCAATCAATATCTGTTGAAAGGGCATGTTCACTGCGGGGAGAGAGCCTGTACACCCTGTTTACTGACCGTGTAACGAATGTATTGATACCTTCTGAGCCAGAGGCTTTAGTGCTAACTTTCAGAATTTAAAACGTCAATCTTATCAGTTTTGTAAGCGGAAGTCATATTTGCCAGGAAGAGTGTCTTTTGTAGTAAAGTATAGAAATATATATCATCCTGTCCCCAATATAAGCCGTGTTACACACGATTATAGATTGTCACCTGACGGATTAGTATATAAGACAGTGATATATAGATATATATATATATATATATATACAGAGAGAGAGAGAGAGAGAGAGAGAGAGAGAGAGAGAGAGAGAGAGAGAGAGAGAGAGAGAGTGAGAGATGAGGTAAAGGATATACTAAGTTTTTACGAGTGGCACGAGATTAGTACTATATACCTTTTGTGTGGTTGTCTACAGGAAAATTGAATTATTTTATTACTAATGTAAACCTTGAAACGTAAACGTCAATTCTTCCTACCTAACACACAGGGGCGTTTCACCACCTCTTGTATTTGCGACTTACAAAGTAATTCCGTTTTTGCAAAATCTGTAAAAAATAGAAAAAAGAAACAAAAAATATAGATGCCAAATTTAATTCTTTATCATACATTTGGATTATATACAAAATGCACTTCAACAAAACATATCCTAGCTTGAAATCAGCATGACCGTTTTGAAAGTGAACGAATACACATTGGTGAAGTAACAAAAATCGCGTTTTGCGAAACAAACAGTTTCGATTGGAAAGTTAAATGAGAAATTTACAGTCGATACAGTTTCAAGAGAATAACAAACGGCAAGAAGCGATATTAACTCCATAAATGGCCGTCTGTCTTTGTTTTGCCATGTCAATGTAGAACGAACGTAAATAGGAAGTCAGTTTGTGTATGCGCTAGACACTTTTATATAAAATATCAAATATCACATTTCCCAACTTCAGAAAACTCAGTCTTTCACTCTGAAGTATATTATTAACATTCATAATACACAGTTTACTGTTACACTGTATCTATTTGTTTTGTTGAGACGATTAAACTGTGAGACATGATGCATTTGTCGGATTTTATCTCTCAGGCAAATGAAGGGAGGTAACTCATGTCACCCTATTCGATTCTACGTATACATTATTCTCACCAGTTCTAATACTATGACGCAGTAGTTTGTACAGGTACATACTGGACAGTTAGTGGCCTACAGGAATGGTATGTTACAGAACATAATGCGCCATAGCCTGTCGGCACAACACCCAAAGTTGCAACAATCTGCATACCTGCGTCACGGTTGGCTTTCCTCTAAACCTTCGCTCTTTGATATAAAAGGAAGTATTGTTCAAAGGGATTTTAAACCAGCAAAGTCGGTCACTCACTACTATCAGGGGAAATATTTTCTCGGCAAGTTAATAATCTACAGTCGTGAGTTGGAATGTCATATACGCCGTCGATGCATCATATTTTCACTGCAATATTCTACAGTCTACATGTGGATAATGTACCCTGGCCTACACTTTCTGAATGTAGGCAGATAAGATTGTTCTCAGTTGATGTCAGATCCATCATATCCAAGTTATCAGTTGAAAGCAGCTTTTGTAGTGTACACTTCCTTGTTACCCGGATGTAATGTTCCAGCATACTGACCATATAAACATTAAACATATCGACAAGAGATGTTGATGAGAGTCGGTCTGAATTGTACAAATGTAATAAAATGTTCAGTACACTGAAATTAACAAAGTCGCAATAAGTACAATAATCAGTATAGCTTTACATGACATTGAGATGAATGTATAATATAACAAAATATTAAAGGCTTTGTGATGATAATGTTACAGTTTTTACAGTAACTGTTCTAGATAGGAAAATAAAATATAATATATACATTGACGATGTAAAACCTATTTATTTGAAAAGACGCTTCTGTTTGCCACCTCAGCATCACTGCCTGTAGCCAGCCATGGATGTGAAAGACTCAGTAAATGGTCGGTGATAACAGACTTTGCCGTCATTGGGTCTCCGTCTCATTTTAGCGCTTTAGTTCGATAACAACCGAATTGATTTGAAGGTGTCGATGGGTCAATAATACATAGGAGTTCTAATTGGAAGTTCATATTTTATAAAGTATACGTGAGGCCAAGCATTGCACACTTTCTCACACATTAAACTGTCACAGCATGATATCAATACATTAATGTTCAAAGCGTAAAACAACACATCGTTATCTAACAGAGTCGGTATTTCCAATATGGTTGCCTGTTAACTCTAGCTAGCTACCAATCCAATCTATAAAACTAGTCGGTGCTTAAAAATCGTTAACAACTAATTCTGTTTTCGTCCGACCTCGTTGTACTTGACAGTTTGCTTACACATTTATTCACCTTCACTGTCGTCTACAACTTTTGTGTTTCGATGAAGGATGAGGCCAATTCAAAACACGTAGATACCTCGACCTGGAAATATATACAGTTTCGTATGTACACGTGTATTCAAACGTGACGCATGTGGCTCCTGAACATGGTGTCACCTTCCTCTTTCATTAACTACACACTGTACTCCTAACCTGAATGTGCATGTCATCAGTGTGTGCCACCTTCCTGATCTCTTAACCACACGCTGTACTTCTTACCTTTTACAAATGTAACATTAACGTTGCTTACACACCATATAATGTGGAATAGGAAATAATGCGTTGGTAGAAAACCATCGATGTATGGGAGGCTCATTGACATACTGTTTCTTGGACATAATCACATAATTAGTAAAAACATCGTGTGTGTGTTGTGACTTCAGTGCTATTGGGTGAGTGAGTGAGTGAGTATGGTTTTACGCCGCATTAAGCAATATTCCAGCAATATCACGGCGGGGGACACCAGAAATGGGCTTCACACATTGTACCCATGTCGGGATTCGAACCCGGGTTTTCGGAGTGACGAGCGAACGCTTTAACCACTAGGCTACCCGACCCCCCCCCCCCCCCCCCCTATACTAAGACTTAGAATATGTTATACCATGACTTAGAGTATGTTATGCCAAGACGTTGTAGAATAAGTTACACCATGACTTATAGTATGTTGTACCTTGATTAAGAGTATGCTTATATGATGACTTTGAGTTTGCTTTACAATGACCTGTAGTACGTTATACCATGACCTGTAGTATGTTATACCATGACTTAGAGTATGTTGAACCATGTCTTAGAATATGTTATACCATGACCTATAGTACGTTATACCATGACTTATAGTATGTTATACCATGACTTAGAGTATGTTATACCATGACCTATAGTACGTTATACCATGACTTAGAGTATGTTATACCATGACTTAGAGTATGTTATACCATGACCTATAGTACGTTATACCATGACTTATAGTATGTTATACCATGACTTAGAGTATGTTATACCATGACCTATAGTACGTTATACCATGACTTAGAGTATGTTATACCATGACCTGTAGTATGTTATACCATGACTTATAGTATGTTATACCATGACTTAGAGTATGTTATACCATGACCTATAGTACGTTATACCATGACTTATAGTATGTTATACCATGACTTAGAGTATGTTATACCATGACCTATAGTACGTTATACCATGACTTAGAGTATGTTATACCATGACCTGTAGTATGTTATACCATGACTTAGAGTATGTTGAACCATGTCTTAGAGTATGTTATACCATGACCTATAGTACGTTATACCATGACTTATAGTATGTTATACCATGACTTAGAGTATGTTATACCATGACCTATAGTACGTTATACCATGACTTAGAGTATGTTATACCATGACTTAGAGTATGTTGAACCATGTCTTAGAGTATGTTATACCATGACTTAGAGTATGTTGAACCATGTCTTAGAGTATGTTATACCATGACCTATAGTACGTTATACCATGACTTATATTATTTTATACCATGACTCAGAGTATGTTGAACCATGTCTTAGAGTATGTTATACCATGACCTATAGTACGTTATACCATGACTTATAGTATGTTATACCATGACTTAGAGTATGTTGAACCATGTCTTAGAGTATGTTATACCATGACCTCTAGTATGTTATACCATGACTTAGAGTATGTTATACCATGACTTAGAGTATGTTGAACCATGTCTTAGAGTATGTTGAACCATGTCTTAGAGTATGTTATACCATGACCTGTAGTATGTTATACCATGACTTATAGTATGTTGAACCATGTCTTAGAGTATGTTATACCATGACCTCTAGTATGTTATACCATGACTTAGAGTATGTTATACCATGACTTAGAGTATGTTGAACCATGTCTTAGAGTATGTTGAACCATGTCTTAGAGTATGTTATACCATGACTTAGAGTATGTTATATCATGACTTAGAGTATGTTTTACCATGTCTAAGAGTATGTCTTACCATGACATAGAATATGCTATACCATGACTTATAGTATGTTATGTCATGACGTTGTAACGCATATTATACCATGACGTTTTAGTCTATGACATGCAGGAAGGTAGATACACAAAGAGGTTAATGGGCAGATTCTCAACGTAACAGTGTGTAACGAATATGTCACTAGAGATAAAGGTAGACAGACAAATATGTACCTCTGTGAGGTCGTTATCAAACAGATGCCCGAGTCGTCTGATGTTGTTGTAGATTTCCACCTCGTTGTCATTTTTCACGCCCTGCAAGATGTTGTTCAAGATGCAGAACAACGTAGCCATTCGCCTTTCACCCTCACTGAAAGTATTTGTACCATGAATTGACATCTGCTTAGATGAACCCTTCTGTGAATATTTTCAGTTATTTACGTACCTCTTAAATAAGGATTCGTAATTATAATTACATGTACACTACAGCAAAATATTCATTATCAACGAAAAAGAATATAGTATATCCACAAATCCAAAGTGCATAATTACCCAAACATAATTGTAACTGGCTCTGCTCTTGTTGCTCCACTTCGTGACTCCATCTCTGCTACAAGGTCAAGGACAACGTTTGGGTTGATTGTCTTCAGTAGATACACGCGCACTGGCGGAGAGGATACGTGACCCTTAAAATACAATATGTCAATGTTATATACCACGACGTCCCGTTAATTCGTAGGGTACCTTCCCTGGTCAAATGACGTCTATGGATTACTGTGCAGAAACATAAACCTTCCCAAGTATTTGTCCTGTATGCAGGGTACCTTGGATAGTGTTATCATGACTACGTTGTACTTTGCACAAATACATAGGTACATTCCACAGTCTCTATATATAATCATATATGTATTTATTGAACTTACGACTGAACTCCGACAGTTTTATATAACTCGCATATTGACTGCGAGTGAATGACGTTATTAAGACTAAACTTGGATATCCATTCAAACTTATCATACCTCCATTTTTCTTTCCACATTTCTCAAAACGATGTCTGGACTGATATCATATATCATGGAACATTTCACGCTCAATGGAGTCCAGTCGAGGCTGGATCCCAATGTTGGCAGGAAACAGGGCAGCATCTGTTAGTTAACATTATTAAGAAGTCAATGGTAAGGCTCCTTACAGTCACACAAGTATATCTCATCATTGACACAACTTCAATATAGTTCCTGTACAAACTGCCCAACATTACTTTATGTCATCTGTCTGCTGTAGAGCAGTGGGGGACACTCAAGTACTATACCTAGAAACACCAGCTTGTAGTCCTCCCCAGCATTCCTGATGTCATCTGTCTGCTGTAGAGCAGTGGGGACGCTCTAGTACTATACCTAGAAACACCTACTTGCAGTCCTCCCCAGCATTCCTGATGTCATCTGTCTGCTGTAGAGCAGTGGGGGACACTCAAGTACTATACCTAGAAACACCTACTTGTAGTCCTCCCAGCATTCCTGATATCATCTGTCTGCTGTAGAACAGTGGGGGACACTCTAGTACTATACCTAGAAACACCTACTTGTAGTCCTCCCCAGCATTCCTGATATCACCTGTCTGCTGTAGAGCAGTGGGGGACACTCTAGTACTATACCTAGAAACACCTACTTGTAGTCCTCCCCATTATTGCTTGATATCATCTGTCTGCTGTAGAGCAGTTGGGGACACTCTAGTACTATACCTAGAAACACCTACTTGTAGTCCTCCCCATTATTGCTTGATATCATCTGTCTGCTGTAGAGCAGTGGGGGACACTCTAGTACTATACCTAGAAACACCTACTTGTAGTCCTCCCCATTATTGCTTGATATCATCTGTCTGCTGTAGAGCAGTTGGGGACACTCTAGTACTATACCTAGAAACACCTACTTGTAGTCCTCCCCATTATTGCTTGATATCATCTGTCTGCTGTAGAGCAGTGGGGGACACTCTAGTACTATACCTAGAAACACCTACTTGTAGTCCTCCCCATTATTGCTTGATATCACCTGTCTGCTGTAGAGTTGTCAGGGACAGCCTGGCTCTATACCAACAAACGCCTACTTGAGTTTAACTAATATAGTGTATCGGATTCAACGCAGAAACCACATCATAAACTAAATCACATATGTAGGCTTACTTTGTTACCAATTATCATTTCCATAAAAATTAAGGACGGTCTATTCAGATTAAACTACTTTCAGTGTTGTAGAAATACAACTCAGGGCTTATACCATAAGAAGTGAAATGGTGTCTCACTTGTTGTGACTTTGGTAGAACTATGACTGTAGAAGAGTCGTGGCTAGTTGTGAGTTCCCAGAACGAAGACGCCGTGGTGACGGAGGGAGCTTCAGTTACTAGGTATCCTTTCAGAGAGAGTCGGGACTGAAATGTTCAAGAACAGGATTGAAAGTTCAATAGTTATTTGGTAGGGACAGCCCCTATGCCGAGACTGAATCACATATCAAGTATAAACAAGCGAGTTGGTGAGTGAGTTGGGTTAATCTTTGTCGCGTTTCCCAGATTCGCAATGTCGTTCTCGATAGTTGGATTAACGTTATATACATTTACCTACAACATGAATCTGACACGCCTGTGTATAGCTAAACATTGTTACTGTCTAGAGGCGTTAACCGAATTCACTATTCTCTTTTGATATTGCAAAACTGGCGTGTAATAACAAGCACTTACTTGTTGCTGCACTTCCCTATGTGCAGCATATGAAGTATTCTGTGATAAGGACTAGCATTTACAGCAGTATGATTCTTAATTGAAAGTTATCCCAGATACAGACTGTATCTAATCTAAATCGATCCTACCCTACCACACATAAGTATCATATTTAGATCATTTACAATTACACACTGGCATCATGACTGTTAGAACATCAGCTCCCCCGTTCACCCTCACAATGTTCTTGTAGCTGCCTTCTGGAACAAGGAGATTCATGAGTTAATTACTTCCACGGTATTTATGTAGCTACCTCCTAAAACAATGATATTCATGTGTAAATTATTTCCACAGTGTTCCCGTGGCTGCCTCCTAGAACAGGGAGATTCATGTGTTAATTATTTCCACAGTGTTCCCGTGGCTGCCTCCTAGGACAGGGAGATTCATGTGTTAATTATTTCCACAGTGTTCCCGTGGCTGCCTCCTAGAACAGGGAGATTCATGTGTTAATTATTTCCACAGTGTTCCCGTGGCTGCCTCCTGGAACAAGGGAATTCATGGGGAAATTATCTCACAACGTTCCTGTAGCTGCCTCCTGGAACAAGGAGATTCATGTGTTAGTTATCTCACAATGTTCCTGTAGCTGCCTTCTGGAACAAGGAGATTCATGTGTTAATTATCTCACAATGTTCCTGTAGCTGCCTTCTGGAACAAGGAGATTCATGTGTTAATTATCTCACAATGTTCCTGTAGCTGCCTCCTGGAACAAGGAGATTCATGTGTTAATTATCACACAATGTTCCTGTAGCTGCCTCCTGGAACAAGGAGATTGATGTGTTAATTATCTCACAATGTTCCTGTAGCTGCCTCCTGGAACAAGGAGATTCATGTGTTAATTATCACACAATGTTCCTGTAGCTGCCTCCTGGAACAAGGGAATTCTTGGGTAAATTATCTCACAATGTTCCTGTAGCTGCCTCCTGGAACAAGGGAATTCTTGGGTAAATTATCTCACAATGTTCCTGTAGCTGCCTCCTGGAACAAGGGAATTCATGCGGTCATGATCCCCTCAGTGTTCGTACAATGAACGTAGGGACATGAAGATGTATATGACTTACCTTAACATGACGTCACTGTGAGTGACAAGTGCTGTTCCGCTATTCTTACCTGATTCGGCATTTCCTCTCTCCCGTCCCAATTTCTGAATAGTCAATATATAAAACCAGTGTCAATACATTGATAAATCAAAGTGATAATTCTTTTAAAACCTCAACTTTAGAACATCGATGGATCTCAGTTAAAATTTATTTCTTTAAAACATTGAGGTTGGGATGCCATTTTAATATTCATAATTCAACACACGGTTATGTATATTCTCACCTTTATTAGGTGAGGTACTGTGATGTTCCCCATAGTGAATGTTCCATGACCAGCGCCTTGCTTAAATACTGCCACGGGCAAGGTCGTATCCCCGACCAGGAGTGCTTCATAGAGAGTGGTATACACGCTCAGGTATTGACTCTGTGACATATGTTAAAATAAATGTCGTAAAATAGGCGTCAACATGAGAACAACATAATTTTTATACAAACTGCTTCCCAAAATTCTGTCATTTAGAGAACACAGTCAAAGATAAACTAGTATATGGTGTAACAAATATATGGTGCACAAAACATATTTTTAAGTGACTATAACTTATACTTATTTCAGCCCTGAATATACATTATATCATTAATACGTTCAACAGGCATCATTTATTTACCACGTTCTGTACCATACTGTTGCGCTGCTGTCTCATTGTATTCACAACCCCGAACACGTCCACTTTGTGATCAGTGAAAACCTGATCCAGCAGATAATCCACAGCGATATATGTCCCTGTTCGGCCGATCCCAGCGCTGGTGTTAAAGGCAAATGTCCAAGTGAGGCATTAAATGAACCCCCATGTACAATAGACATTGATAATTCAAAAGGATAGGTTGAGGCCAAATACATACATACCACATTTGACAAGATAAATGAAATTCCCATATGACAGCAGAACGTTTTAACCAACCGTGCTTTAGTCTGGTCTTGAAACTGAGTTTGCTTACAAAGCTGTTGTAGGACATTTGACTTTACCAAGTAGATTGTACCATTTAACGACATCAGAGTTTGTGAAAGCAGTATTCAATCGTTTTGTGTTTCTATATTTGCGGCTACAGGAGAGTCCTCGGGGCTTTACACGTTTAAAAGTTAACAGAGATAGCCAGGGTCTGTACCATTGATGTACTAATACATCTATAGTGATAATGCAAATAATATGTGACATCGTGATTGCACATCCAGACAATGTCACTTACCTACAGTGAACCAGCAAGGGGGAGTTGTTCGGGTTGGGCGTCCTTCTTACTCGGAACACAAACTCCGCTTGTGCGAGTTCATCTGCGGTGCTGTCATCCGACCACACCGTAAAGTGGAAGTGATTCACCACAAGGCTTTCTCCAGTCTACAAATGAAAGAAAAACATTTAACATTGCAAAATACTGTTGTTGTTGTTGTTTTTATATTTAATCACAAATTACGACAACTTCGATGGTTAGATCTGGTACCTCTTTAGATGTGGCGTTGATTTTCCTGAAGGTCCAGTGCGATCTCTGCAACTTCTTGGTGACAGAAATCAGGAATCGTCCTACATCAAGTTTATATCCGTCCAACCAGTAAGAGTCGCATTTGACCTTGTGTGGAAACACAGACAACAAATTGTATAATGAACATCTACGGTTCAGATATAGTGTGGTTGTAAGCATGTGTAGTGTAAGAGCAATAGGTCATACCACGTCCTTCTCTACATGGTTGGTCAGCATAACCACTCGAGTTATCTCCTTCTCAAACACCATTCGCCAGAAGTCACCAACTGTTGTCCGTTTCGGCCCTGGACAATAGGTTAGCATCAGGTTATGTATATCATTAAAGTTGATACTGTATTGCATTAACTAATGCATCGTGATAAACATGGAGGGAAGTGTTTAACGCCACTTTAGACATTATTACTGATCACAGCATGTCTCCTTAATGTGGTAGGTACATTTGTTAGTTCATCTGTGCTGCTTAAACTGTATCATTGACATGATAAAACATCTATGTTTGACGTTTACGTTTTCGTGCTTTGAATTTAAATCAATGGAGCACTTTCGGAAAGAATGTTATACATACCTTGAGTCGCAATGTATGCTTGAGGTTTGAAATATCCCTGAAATAAAATAGTGAATCATCGTTACAATATCAGAACGTAAAAGTAACATATCCCTTCTCAAACAACAACTTACATGTCATTATTAGTATGTACATAAACATAACTGATATTTTTATTGTTGTTTTGATAACTTTTTTTCCAGGCTAATTTGCATAATGCCTATAGCCTGTTTCTGCCATGTCAATTTGGACTTAGTTTTATTTTTGAATGTTGAAAGTGCCTACAAATTACCTCCTGTAAAGTACATTTTGGATTGAGCACTGATATAAAACGAGCTAATCCAGACTTGTACTTTTCAAGTTGTTTTGTTATTTCGTATTTACATCTACGTAATGCTTTGTGTGGATTATTAAATCCAGCAAAACAGTTGGGTTTTTTTCTTTTCCATGAGTTATTTAGCTTGAAACTATTTGACGATAAACCCACATTGATGTAGTTAGCGTTGATATAGGTAGAGAGAGGATCACTGTGCAGTTTCGTCAGCTGTACTTGGTTGAAATCATCTGAAATATAGTTGTAAAAGGTGCTTCACACTACATTTACATCGATTTCTAAATCAGACTAAACATATGTGGATGCATTTAGTCAAATAGCCACGTAATTTGTTGCAACTTGTTGAAAATATTTTAAAAATCGATGGAAGCATTTGTGAGATGCTGTTTAGTCTGCTGGCTGCATATGCAAGTATGTGCATCACTTCACGAATTAACGTATTTCCTTTGTTAAAGATCAAGCACTTACATGCTGTAACAAGAAACGGATCATGCCCAACAACTAGTGGTTCACAGTTTACACCTATATGCAGACCCACAAACATTGTGCATGGCATTACTTACAAGGATAGATGTTTTTATAACGGTTCTTGGCTCTGTTTCCCTTCCGTCGAGATCTTAGCTGAGGTCGATTGGCACCAACAGAAAGTCGCTGGAACATATTGCATTCATCTGGAACTACATATGTGACCAAACGGAGATGTCTTCCAAACAAGGAATGATACATATTTTGAAATTGGATTCCTAATTATGTAAAACATTGTCCATTCTTACCTTGCATTTCATATCCACTACTAGTTCATCGATAATAGTATTGCGATAAATAAAGGAGTCAAATCGATATATCATTCTCGAAAATGCCATCGTTTTCATTATATGACACCACCAATATATAGTGCCTACGTTGAATTCACCGTGAACACCACCAGCTTCCTCTAACAACTCCCTGATCTTGTCATGCAGTTTGTCCACCTCCACCTCGGTGGAATGTTCAGGGGTGCCCTGGTTTTTGTAGTCGCCATTTGCTCTCGAACTTCCTGAAAGTGTTTGCTTATGTCAGAGTTATGTTTCAATTCATATGGGGCTCGAAGAAATACGTGGTGAGTTTCTAAATAGTTCAGGGTAGATATGATAATGATGAGGGAAAATGTATTGTTTCACACACATACACACACACACACACACACACACACACACACACACATATATATATATATATATATATATATACACATGCATAAACATAAACATTTACTACTTAAATTTTGAAAGAAATCTGAATTACCTTGTGAGTGATGCACTAGACAATGGCAGCCTGTCGTGTTCTTTCCTTTGCACCTAGAAAAGTTACCATTTCATGAAATACAGTTGAATCACCAAGTTGCTGGACGGATAATCTATAATTCTCTTGCACTGACAATTGATTTTTACTTGTTGTGCGTCACTTGTATTCTAGTTATGCGGGGTACCACAATAGATGCAGTTTGGTTCTCTAAGACTATATGGGTGTTCATTCATCTTACCAACACACAACACCTACAACTGCGACAGCGATGATCAGCAACAAATACGCCACTCCTCCAATTAAAGCACTGATCAACAGCGTGTGATCTGAAAGGAAGAGTGAGAGGTGAAACATGTTTAATTCAAAAGTCTTGAATTGGAGCTGTTATGTCATTGGTCAGTGTTTGTATCGTACAAAAGCAGCTCGTTCTCTAATGTGGTAATAAGTATACATTTATGCATTTGTACACAGACTTTGCGCCAGATCCAAGGGACTGAGTGGTCAATTGGTTCAAAGGCCACTTCTTGCAAATCGTGCCCCTATTATATTGACATTTAATAACATATTTTAAATGGAAAAATATCATTATTGAACTACACGTCTATATTTAAATATCGTAATATCAATCTTAACTAATCAGTCTTGACAGTGTCCACCCAGAGCAAGGGTCATTGCCAAGACAGTGTCCACACAGGGTAAGGGTCATTGTCAAGATAGTGTCCAAACAGGGCAAGGGTCATTGTCAAGACAATGTCCACCAAGTGCAAGGGTCATTGTCAAGACAGTGTCCACACAGAGCAAGGGACATTGTCAAGACAGTGTCCACACAGAGCAAGGGTTATTGTCAAGACAGTGTCCACCCAGAGCAAGGGTCAATGCCAAGACAGTGTCCACACAGGGTAAGGGTCATTGTCAAGATAGTGTCCAAACAGGGTGAGGTTCATTGTCAAGACAATGTCCACCAAGTGCAAGGGTCATTGTCAAGATGGTGTCCACAGAGGGAAAGGGACATTGTCAAGACAGTGTCCACACAGGACATGGGTCATTGTCAAGACAGTGTCCACCCAGAGCAAGGGTCATTGTCAAGACAGTGTCCACACAGAGCAAGGGTCATTGTCAAGACAGTGTCCACCCAGAGCAAGGGTCATTGCCAAGACAGTGTCCACACAGGGTAAGGGTCATTGTCAAGATAGTGTCCACACAGGGCAAGGTTCATTGTCAAGACAATGTCCACCAAGTGCAAGGGTCATTGTCAAGACAGTGTCCACACAGAGCAAGGGACATTGTCAAGACAGTGTCCACACAGGGTAAGGGACATTGTCAAGATGGTGTCCACACAGGGTAAGGGTCATTGCCAAGACAGTGTCCACACAGAGTAAGGGTCATTGTCAAGATAGTGTCCGAACAGGGTGAGGTTCATTGTCAAGACATTGTCCAAACAGTCTGAGGTTCATCGTCAAGACGGTGTCCAAACAGTTTGAGGTTCATCGTCAAGACAGTGTCCATAAAGGGCAAGGTTCATTGTCAAGACAATGTCCACCAAGTGCAAGGGTCATTGTCAAGACAGTGTCCACACAGAGCAAGGGACATTGTCAAGACAGTGTCCACACAGGGCAAGGGTCATTGTCAAGACAGTGTCCACCCAGAGCAAGGGTCATTGCCAAGACAGTGTCCACACAGGGTAAGGGTCATTGTCAAGATAGTGTCCAAACAGGGTGAGGTTCATTGTCAAGACAATGTCCACACAGAGTAAGTGTCATTGTTAAGAGGGTGTCAATACAGGGCAGGCTTTATCGTCAAGACGGTGTCCAAACAGGGCAGGGTTAATCGTCAAGACGGTGTCCAAACAGTGTGAGGTTCATCGTCAAGACAGTGTCCACACAGGGCAGGGTTCATTGTCAAGACATTGTCCAAACAGTGTGAGGTTCATCGTCAAGACGGTGTCCAAACAGTGTGAGGTTCATCGTCAAGACAGTGTCCATACAGGGCAGGGTTCATTGTCAAGATAGTGTCCACACAGGGTAAGGGTCATTGTCAAGACAGTGTCCAAACAGGGCGAGGTTCATTCTCAAGACAGTGTCCACACAGGGTAAGGGTCATTGTCAAGACAGTTTCCACACAGGGCAAGGCACATTGTCAAGAAAGTGTCCAAACAGGGTAAGGGTCATTGTCAAGAAAGTGTCCACACAGGGTAGGGGTCATTGTCAAGACATTGTTCAACCAGGGCAAGGCACATTGTCAAGATAGTGATCACACAGAGCAAGGTTCATTGTCAAGACAGTGTCCACACAGGGTAGGGGTCATTGTCAAGACAGTGTCCACACAGGGCAAGGCACATTGTCAAGAAAGTGTCCAAACAGGCCGAGGTTCATTGTCAAGACAGTGTCCACACAGGGTAAGGGTCATTGTCAAGACAGTGTCCAAACAGGGTAAGGGTCATTGTCAAGAAAGTGTCCACACAAGGTAGGGGTCATTGTCAAGACATTGTCCAACCAGGGCAAGGCACATTGTCAAGACAGTGTCCACACAGAGCAAGGTTCATTGTCAAGACAGTGTCCACACAGGGTAAGGGTCATTGTCAAGACAGTGTCCAAACAGGGCAAGGCCCATTGTCAAGACAGTGTCCACACAGGGTAAGGCCCATTGTCAAGACAGTGTCCACACAGGGTAAGGGTCATTGTCAAGACAGTGTCCACACAGGGTAAGGGTCATTGCCAAGACAGTGTCCACACAGGCCAGGCTTTATCGTCAAGACTGTGTTCAAACAGTGTGAGGTTCATCGTCAAGACGGTGTCCAAACAGTGTGAGGTTCATCGTCAAGACAATGTCCATACAGGGCAGGGTTCATTGTCAAGATAGTGTCCACACAGGGTAAGGGTCAGTGTCAAGACAGTGTCCAAACAGTGTGAGGTTCATCGTGAAGACGGTGTCCAAACAGTGTGAGGTTCATCGTCAAGACAGTGTCCATACAGGGCAGGGTTCATTGTCAAGATAGTGTCCACACAGGGTAAGGGTCATTGTCAAGACATTGTTCAACCAGGGCAAGGCACATTGTCAAGATAGTGTCCACACAGGGTAAGGGTCATTGTCAAGACACTGTCCAAACAGGGCAAGTCCCATTGTCAAGACAGTGTCCACACAGGGTAAGGGTCATTGTCAAGACAGTGTCGAAACAGGACAAGGCCCATTGTCAAGACAGTGTCCACACAGGGTAAGGGTCATTGCCAAGACAGTGTCCACACAGGGTAAGGGTCATTGTCAAGATAGTGTCCAAACAGGGTGAGGTTCATTGTCAAGACAATGTCCACACAGAGTAAGGGTCATTGTTAAGAGGGTGTCAATACAGGGCAAGGGTCATTGTCATGACAGTATCCACACAGGGCAGGCTTTATCGTCAAGACGGTGTTCAAACAGGGAGACGTTCATTGTCAAGACATTGTCCAAACAGTGTGAGGTTCATCGTCAAGACATTGTCCAAACAGTGTGAGGTTCATCGTCAAGACAGTGTCCATACAGGGCAGGGTTCATTGTCAAGATAGTGTCCACACAGGGTAAGGGTCATTGTCAAGACATTGTTCAACCAGGGCAAGGCACATTGTCAAGATAGTGTCCACACAGAGCAAGCTTCATTATCAAGACAGTTTCCACACAGGGTAAGGGTCATTGTCAAGATAGTGTCCAAATAGGGTAAGGGTCATTGTGAAGAAAGTGTCCACACAAGGTAGGGGTCATTGTCAAGACATTGTCCAACCAGGGCAAGGCACATCGTCAAGACAGTGTCCACACAGAGCAAGGTTCATTGTCAAGACAGTGTCCACACAGAGTAAGGGTCATTCTGAAGATAGTGTCCACACAGGGCAAGGCACATTGTCAAGAAAGTGTCCAAACAGGGTAAGGGTAATTGTCAAGAAAGTGTCCACACAGGGTAGGGGTCATTGTCAAGACATTGTTCAACCAGGGCAAGGCACATTGTCAAGATAGTGATCACACAGAGCAAGGTTCATTGTCAAGACAGTGTCCACACAGGGTAGGGGTCATTGTCAAGAGAGTGTCCACACAGGGCAAGGCACATTGTCAAGAAAGTGTCCAAACAGGCCGAGGTTCATTGTCAAGACAGTGTCCACACAGGGTAAGGGTCATTGTCAAGACAGTGTCCAAACAGGGTAAGGGTCATTGTCAAGAAAGTGTCCACACAAGGTAGGGGTCATTGTCAAGACATTGTCCAACCAGGGCAAGGCACATTTTCAAGACAGTGTCCACACAGAGCAAGGTTCATTGTCAAGACAGTGTCCACACAGGGTAGGGGTCATTGTCAAGACAGTGTCCACGCAGGGCAAGGCACATTGTCAAGAAAGTGTCCAAACAGGCCGAGGTTCATTGTCAAGACAGTGTCCACACAGGGTAAGGGTCATTGTCAAGACAGTGTCCACACACAGCAAGGTTCATTGTCAAGACAGTGTCCACACAGAGTAAGGGTCATTGTGAAGATAGTGTCCACACAGGGTAGGGGTCATTGTCAAGACATTGTTCAACCAGGGCAAGGCACATTGTCAAGATAGTGTCCACACAGAGCAAGCTTCATTATCAAGACAGTTTCCACACAGGGTAAGGGTCATTGTCAAGATAGTGTCCAAATAGGGTAAGGGTCATTGTGAAGAAAGTGTCCACACAAGGTAGGGGTCATTGTCAAGACATTGTCCAACCAGGGCAAGGCACATCGTCAAGACAGTGTCCACACAGAGCAAGGTTCATTGTCAAGACAGTGTCCACACAGAGTAAGGGTCATTCTGAAGATAGTGTCCACACAGGGCAAGGCACATTGTCAAGAAAGTGTCCACACAGGGTAAGGGTAATTGTCAAGAAAGTGTCCACACAGGGTAGGGGTCATTGTCAAGACATTGTTCAACCAGGGCAAGGCACATTGTCAAGATAGTGATCACACAGAGCAAGGTTCATTGTCAAGACAGTGTCCACACAGGGTAGGGGTCATTGTCAAGAGAGTGTCCACACAGGGCAAGGCACATTGTCAAGAAAGTGTCCAAACAGGCCGAGGTTCATTGTCAAGACAGTGTCCACACAGGGTAAGGGTCATTGTCAAGACAGTGTCCAAACAGGGTAAGGGTCATTGTCAAGAAAGTATCCACACAAGGTAGGGGTCATTGTCAAGACATTGTCCAACCAGGGCAAGGCACATTTTCAAGACAGTGTCCACACAGAGCAAGGTTCATTGTCAAGACAGTGTCCACACAGGGTAGGGGTCATTGTCAAGACAGTGTCCACGCAGGGCAAGGCACATTGTCAAGAAAGTGTCCAAACAGGCCGAGGT